ATATATATATATATATATATGTGTGTGTGTGTGTGTGTCATAAAAGAACCAGCAGAAGAAGTCATATAAATGAAGGTCATTTCCTGCCTTGTTTTCCACATAAAAAGAAAGTTTTTGGCTTAAAAACTAAATTCAAAAACCAGATGAGCTTCAGTTTTGATAGCCACATTGAAATCTGATATACACTAAAAACAGTGTTAATTACCAATGCCAAATGAAAACAAAAATACATTTTAAAAAGTTGGCTAAGATTTATTAAAATTCTGCAGTTAGATTAAGACTCTAGTTTATCAGCAGCCGCTAGATTATGCAGAATAGAGCCACTACTTTCTAAAACGCATTCTAGAGCTACTACAGATTATTAGTATCAGTTTGAGTGGGTTCAAGGCAGGAAATACCCCCGATATGTTGCTGTGAGTGATTTGTGCTGAAAGGAGCTGGCATCAGGAAGAATGGGGCTCCATCTCAAAGGACCTTTCATTTAGTTGTGCAACAGTCTAGATTAAAAGGACTATTCTGTGCATGCATTATGGCTTGTGTTCAGTACTGACAAACTGCACAGAAAGTGCCTCTGGAGAAATGATGCACATCAGATACTTATCCCAAAGATGTCTGTTTTAGAAACTATGGTAACCACGCCTCATACAAATGAATGGACATTTAGAAACTTGACTTTGATTTGATCGAACCTGAAGTTGCATTCAATATGAACAAACCATTCCATCTCAAGCTATTTTTGTATTATGTTGAATAAACAAAATTAACATAGTAATAAAAGTCATTATTATTTAACACTCAATATTAATAAGGGGCTATTGTATTTTATATATTTCATAATATATGACGGTGATTCTGGTATTAATCATAGCAGTGCGATCATTCTAGTAACTAGATGTTACAGGGAACACTGCTTGTATGACTTTTTACTCATCAGAATATGCTAATATTGTCTGAGTGACACTCGGAGGTGCTCGCTGTTATTTTGATTTAAACTGAGTTGCAGAAAAAGGAAGTTTCTCAATGACTCTGAGGTGGTGTACTGTAATTTGGAAGTTAGATTGATCTTTGGAAATGGATTCTTTATCAAGTTTGACTAATTATTCACACAATTGAAAATATTTTCAAGTTTCTAGGCAATATTTAGTGAATTATTATTTAATATATATTTATTTTGTTTTCATTATTTGTGTAAATTAATTAAATTATTATTGACAGGCTGACTTATTGAATGAATGTGAAATTTCCGCGTCACGTTCACATGCAGGTCACTTTAAGTTTTTGTCAGTTCGTAAATGGGTTTACCGTAATGCTTAGTATATACACATACCTCAAATCTAGTTTATTTGTCATTTAGAGGCTGGCATCTTCCAGTACCGTTTCTGATCTCAACAAGTACAAACTTGTGACCACAGCTTTTGGTCCTATTGATCAATGCTCTAACTTTGTCTTTTTTGGGTTTTTTTTGACCTAAGGTCAAGTGCAACAGAGAATGTGATGGATGAGCATCTGGGTTGCTAAGGCTCCCCTTTTCAATAAAATAGATCTATAGCTCATTGCTTTGCTATCAGAATACCAGTATCTTGTCTGTTGTTCGACTGAACTACACATGTGCAGGACTTTGAACAGGAGATAAGATGAGGTATCAGTCATTTGAGATGAAACCCAAGAAAGAATTGCTTAAGCGGATTCATGACAGAGATTTACATTTTATATAGTAAATATATCATAAACATGTTCAAAGAGAAAGTCAGACTTGACGTGAAACAGAAATAGGTAGAACCCTGGAATTAGCACTCAACTTACCCCACTAAGTTCGTTTGTATGTTAATTGGCATTTTCTTTCTGAAAAACAACAGGCATGTATACTACATGTTTTCTACATGGACTAGAAAAAAGCACTACTTCAAATCAAATAATTTGCGATTAATGCTAAACAATATGACTTCATATCAATCTTACAATTCTTTCACAAATGTAGCATGGTAATGTTAAGTTAATGCTTATGTTTGTAAAATCTTTTTTTTTTTTTTTTACAGTTCCCTGGCAACTTACAAGTCCTTGTAACATGATTCACTGACAGAACAAGTTTTTTATTATGCTAAAGCTACGCTTCTTAATAGCATGTATAGCAAAAAGGCATTTTTCCATTGTATACGTTTTGACTCGTCACAGAAGGAGAACAGCACAGGTGCATCTGTTTCGGGGTCCTGGTATTCTACCAATAACACTGTTAATGTTTCTAGTACAAACTGTGCTTTTCCCTACTACAACGAGTCAAAATGTCCACAGTGAAAAAAGGCCTACGATTTTAAAAAATATTCATGTAAACACAAACTAACTTAATATCTACAAGCTAGCTACGAGACTAGACAGGCAACGAGCTAGTCGGCTAAAGACAAATGGCATTTTGACTGGATGGATGTGACCGATTAGGCACGGGCTTAGGAGTAGTTTAAGTTGGACCTGAGTCTGTAGACTTTCTCCTGCGCTATTGTTTTAGCTTTGTTCCAGTATAACAAAGCAAATGAAGGAAGTGTACCTTTCAGCTACTTTCAGTGTACTAAAAAGAAAAGTGTGCATCCCTTGCCCCAGATCACCCCATTACTAAACTATAAAAAAAACAAGAAGAAAAGTAGCCAAATATCTGTAATGCTTGTTTTAAGGTGCCACACACAGTGGGACATGTTTTAAGAACATACAAACAGTCAAAACCAGCAAGTTGGGTGCAAAATTTGGTTGGGTGAGAGATATTTAATAGAAGAAAAAAAAAAAAAAAAAGCAGTAAATTTTGTGTCTAACGCCCAGCCACTGGTCAGCACCGATAGTAAATGTGTGCAGCGGGATGAGTTGCAGAGGACAATTGTGATGTTATTGTGCAATGATGTGACACTACACTGCAGGTCCAGTTACTCTCTTGGGCACTAAGAGAAAGAGTCTCCATGCCTCGGGTCTTGTGCAAATGTGATTAAAATGCCAGCTGGTCAAAATTAAGTGGATGTGAAAATCACGAGTCTCGTCGCTCTCCTATTGGGTGTTCATGCATTATGTGCAAAATACAGATGAATAATTCAGAATATAGCACTCTAAGACTACATTAAATAAACACTTCAAACCTGCCGACATTAGAACGGTCCTGTACACGGTCCTGTGATATAAAGATGACTTACCTAAGGTTTTGAGGGGCTTCTCCAAAGAGGCTACAGATTTCTCTGATTTGCTTCAGGGCAGGGATCACCCATTTGTCATTGGTTCGTAGCTCCTCTATGAAGCGATCTATCCACTGAATCTTCTGCGTGTCTCTGTCCTGCGAGTGAAAATTAAACATCGTCAGGATTTTTGACTTGCACCAAGTCCTCCATCTGGTATTTGGCGTGCCGTGTAACTTCAAACAAATTCACCAACATGCACCTGTGAGCAACTGTAATCTAAAATTTTGATGTGAGCACTAAGCGCCTGGTCCATGATGTCTACAGGCACATCATCGCTGTGCGCCAGGTTCCACAGCAGGTTGAGGACTTTGTGGGCCATCACCCCGTCCTTATCGTCCTCTGCCAAGCGCCGGATGAGTTCCAGCAGTTTCTCACGCTGCTTCTTGCTGGCATTGGTCCAGCTTGCCTGCACGAGAGAACAACCAGGTCCAGAGGTTAAGGCGGCACGTTCGGCAGTATGTTGTTGTGATGCAGCAACGTAATTGAGCCAGAACCGAATGAAAAGATGCAGCGTATCGTGTACAAAACCCTTCTTATGATCTGTGATTGGGTTATTAATCCAACTCTTACTCACCTTGAAACAGTCAAAAAGGTGATCGAGCTGCTCAGGTGAGAAGTCCCATGCCAGCTTGGCCAGGAGGTCGTGGACGTTCTTCACAATGGCCTCATGCTTACCGGCCTGCAGATACAACAAGCAGACCGCTGGGTTAACAACATACTTCTAAGCAGCGTCAGGGATATGTTGCAGCTGTGATGCGGATGTGTTGGAAAGTAAGCCATGACCGGTACCCTGGTTGTTTTTCAAAACACATGTAACAAATGTACATCTGAACTCCGTTACATTGCGTTACTCTAGGTGTGAAGAGGTCAAACTCCCAGCAACACTTTAACGTATAGACAACAACTTTACTGTGAGACGCTGCCACACCAAAGTGGAATTAATCTCTTCAGACTTTTTCCTTTCTCCGTGCAGCTTGGGAAAAGGTGGAGCCATTCCACAAATCCTTCCTCTGCTGCGACTCCAAGTGCGACCAGAGCCAAGTCTACAGCTGTGTGTGGTGATCGCGCCACGCAGGCTCAACTAGTACCGGTATGGTCGGTAACGCAAACGCTAGTGATCGCAACCCAGTGACTGGTATAAATGGAATAAAAAGGGGACTACGAGGACCATTTCTAGTCTGAAAATATAGCTGGGCAACAAAACGTGACTGAAGGAAAAACGTGACCGGACAACCACCTGGATGTTCAACAGGCGCGGTCGTGCAAATTCAAAACATACAATATTAACTAACTAAATAGCTCCAAGCTCTTTTCATTTAACATTCTAAAAAAGTACAGCAGCATACAGTTTGCTCGCACAAAACAACAGAACCACGCACTCAAGTTGTGTTAAGTGAGGGCTGCAGTAACTCACTTTTTGGTGGCCGTTTGACACTGCCATTGATTTACTGCTGACTCATCATTCACTACTCTTAACTTGCAAGTGATAACGCAGCCGAGTGCTTCGCCCCTACTCTGATGCCAGAGGCAGTTATTCTGTACCTTTTTTTTTTTTTAACCAAACATTACAGCAGTGGTCACTGCAGCCACACCTGGCGGAGACCTTTCATGTTATTGAATCTTTTGATAAGAGAATAACATTAATACTGAAAGAATATTGGTCGTTGTAGCGTACCTGTGCCGCCCAGATGTTGTCCAGATCCTGCATTGTAAGAGCTTTTTCTTTGATAACGAAGCGAAGGATCTTTTCCAGTTTCTCTACGTACTGCGGCTGGTGCAAACTGTCCCTCAGCACAATGGACAGGATGTGGTTCTGCTGGATCCACTCCTGACACACACACACACACAAGAGAGGAGAGGTGCATGTTAGGTGGAGAAATCATTTGACGCACCGCACAAAAAGTCAAGGGCTGAGCATACCGCCATGCGCTCTGCAGTCAGCCACTCCTCCTCCTCAGGGTTATGCCGATGAGTGTAGTAGGACACACTGGAGATCACCTTGTTCACTTCATTTAGTGCATTCATTTTGCCGTTAAAAGAAGAAATTTGCAATAACCTGGGGATGAAAATAGAGAATTCATTTAATCAACATCAAATCATTAAATGCGTTTAAGGATGATTGCACCAAAATGTTGACAAATAATAATGACATGATCTTTTGGTACTTGCCTAAGAATCATTTTTAATCTAAAAATCTCTAAATTCTTCACGGTTTCCTCCTGCCCTGGTACACGAGAAGCCAGATTCTTCAGAGACTTGATTATCATGGACAGTGCGTCGTTTTTGGCTTCATTCTTGGCCTCTTTCTTCAGCTCCTCGTCCGTGAGGTTCTCTAGAAACTGGGGAACCATCTCGATGACTGGAAGGAAGTACTTCTTTACCGTGTGCAATGTGAGGAACTCGTAACACTGGCCGAAAGGCCTGTAAAGGCAGGGAGCACAAAAAAACAGGGTCAGCGTTACACCGACAACACAGAAAACATCCAGGACAGCACATGGCCGTGTTGCAGAATATTGTGTTCAAGGAACAACGGGCTCACTTGATAAGTGCAGCGATGATCTGGACGTTCAGTGCTTGGCCGCTCATGAAGCGGTCGTGCAACATTTGAAACCCATTTAACGTGCCAAATTTGTTTATTAAGTCCACCAACCAGCCCTGTGGAAAGAAAAAAAAACAAGAGGAAAAATTTAGACATTTTATCTCCATCTCTGAAACACTTTTCAAACTCTTTTTGATAAATCCGTTTCCCTTTTTGGGGTTGCTTTGCAGTGTAGGCAAATGTTGCCAATTCTGATATATAGCAACTTTTTGTGCAGGATATTCCACCGTTGAATCAGGCTTTCACCACCTGAAGACGTGCACGCTCGTGTGCAACAGCCAATAGAAACGCCCTTTCTTTGAAATGACCTGTGATTGGCCAAAGTCTCGCATCACAAGCTAGACTGTCTAAAGACTGAAGCAGAGCCAGGAGGATGTTTTCTCTCAGACCACTTTAATTACAATATGCTGACAGGTTATTATGGAATCTTAGCCCAATGATGCGAAAAAACCTGCCTATCCAAGCTTTCATTTCTTCAACTAAATTAACACATTTCTTGGTTTCTTTTTCAGACGACCAAAGTTCACAATCACAGCTTGAAAAAACAAACATTTTGTGCATTGTTAGTATTAGTGAGGGACCAGAAGAGACCACAAATACCTTCACCTGACAAGAAATGTAACCGTTGCTTTGTAGCAAATAAATACTTCTAAGCTTAAAAAAACCAAAAGAGTTGCAAAATGTGACTTAATAGTCTCAGCGGGACCCTAAGTAGTCCTGGGCCCCCTGCCAACAGAGGCAGACAGGCGAGCAGTGCTGCAGTACTGTTCACACTGACCCCCTGCCCACACTGAATTCATCACTTTTCACTAGAAAATATCTATTCTCTGGTGTATCCACCTTCTCTTTAACACAATCCGTTTTCTGACACAAGTGCCCGATGGACTGCGAGTACCATATGTTTCTTTAGCAGGCTACTCCAGAGAGGGATTCTCTTTGTTTCACGAGGACCCTTAGGGTGAGACTAAAATGCCACTCTATGGATTCTGTCTGGCGGGAAGAAAGACAGGTCGACTGTCCTCTGGAGGAAGAACACAGGCTGTTTCTTGTTTAATTGAACACAAGCCCAAACATTTACCACATGATAGAATTTGTTAAGTAACATCATGCACAATCTAAACTGTTGAAAAGTGTCTGGTAGACAATCATCTGATCACATAATGTAGGGCAAAAAGGGTGAGTTTTGAGAAAGAACAAGGACGAAAGAGTGTACGATGAGCCTCATTAAACTTGTTGAACACCATATTAAAGAGGCACAATTTTCATGCGGTGGTGACTCACCTTAGGAGAGCGTGGGTCTGGTGGCCGGGCGAACAGCTCATCGTCGGCCAGCTGTGCTCCAGCGGGGACGGTCTCAGAGGGCCGTGTGCCGTTGTAGATATGGAACTTGCAGTGGGGGTTGGTGGCCATGGCCAGTAGCTCCAGTAGAGGGAACCAGTCCTGAGAGAGCTTGGCCACACACAGCTCCACCAACCGGTGTGTGTTGTTGATGATACACCTCTGTGAGACAAGGGGTGTATGGAGGGGGAAAAAAGTGGTATTAACAATCAGACCATGAGAGATGGAGAACAAAAGCCAGAGGGGGCGAGGAAGAGAATTTCAAGTCCAATGTCTTTTCTCAGAAACGCTACGATCCGCTTCTGGTTTAGGAACAATAATCTTACATTCTGACCTTAAAATCTAGTGTTTCCGCCACACAGGATTTGCTTGGGTTGTTCGAGTACATCCTGACTTATTACTACACAAAAGTTCATAAATACAGATTGACATCATCTAATTTGCACTGAATCCCCAGACCTATTCCACAGAACAGTGCACAGCTACGTCACCTGCTCACCTCGTCAATTCAACAGAATTGCAGAACTACCGTTTCTTGACTTCAAAAATATAACTACATTAAACCAATTTAAACCTCAAACCGCTGCAATATTACTAAAAGTATGCACTTTGGGAACAATACAAGTTGGCGAGATAATGATAGCACAGTAGCCTGTAACTAATGTTCAAATCTTCTCCCCTAATGGAGCCTTTAATCTCCTGGATCTACTCCTCTGCAGCACTTCAAGTTGAAGTCAGAGGCCCGGTATGTTGAAAACAGGTTAGAAAAGGATGTAGAATGCAATTTAGAGATATTTGTCACAGTGTAAGCCATTTATAATTAATGTTTTTTGCACAAATTAGAGTAAATCAGTTATATGCCATGGCCTAATACATACATGTACAATACATAGTATCCAAATAAGAATTTACTTTAATTAACAAGTTGAATCAAAACTAAACAGTCTGGGTCGACGGTTGAAATTAATGTGTTATTACTTTGTGTTTTCGTTTCTAAAAACTGAATGTTTTCACTGATACCTTAAGATTAATACACTTTACTTGGAAATATGAGAAACACTATATTATTCATGGCTTCCGCCCGGTTACCCTCCAGTCAGGCGAGCCTCGATAGAGCAGCTGCCACAGACTTCACCTCTACAATAGACTAACTGTCAACTCGGATGTTTTACACAACAAAACAAAACACGTGCCTGCTAGTCAGAACATTAATAAAATGACCCTTCTGCAAGGTTCCTGTTAGATTCACAGATGTGAAGGAGCCAGATACCAGTAATCAATATGGGACAGCGTCATCAAAGCATTCCAGAGAAGCTTTCAGACATCAGTAAAGTCGTGTAGTTTACTAGCATCTGGTTGCATCCTGAACATTTTTGGGTGGAATGAGAATAAATCAGAGCAGCTGTGGATAATAACAAAATAAGTGTTTCCTGTGTAATATACTAAATTGAAGTTATAGATTAAAACAATGTAGTCAACAATATTTAAAAGGTGACTGGAGAAAGAAAAGGACATTTTGCTCCTTTACGTTCCAGAGATCAATCTCCTTAATACAACACAACAGCAAGCCTCAGCTACCTCCAACAAACGGATCATTGATTGATTACTGCTGGCGTTGCCTCTTTCCCTCAGCTCTAAGAAAAGCAAACAGGTAACTCAATTTACAGGCAAGACCCTGGTCTGAGCATTGCAAGCATCCACTGACATAAGGGCAAATGTGTAAAAGAATAAATAAAAGCTAAGGAGACCATGCTGAGTCCTACCACCTGACAATAATATGGATTTTTGTTAACGTAACGCCTTCGATCCCTCCCATATCAACCAGTACAAAGTGGTTGTCGTGCTCTGTGGGAACTGAAAGTGGCGTCAAATTACAAAGATGGTTATCCTCTACCTGTTAAATTGAGCTTCTACATGCATTACAAACAAGCAGCCATATTTCATTCATTAAAAAAAATGAAGAGCTCAGGTATGATGGGTTGCGTATTTCATTTGAAAAGAAGAAAATATACATCTTTCAAGCTATTTAAGTATGAAAATATAAAGCAACAGTGAAAACTCACATGAATCTCAAACTTCCAGCCACTGACCGCCTCGTCTGTCAGGATCTTTGTGAAGGAGATGGTCAGACCATCTCGGAAAAATCTCTGACAAGCCTCACACTTCACATCCAGTCCTGCAAAAAAAAAAAAAAAAAAAAAGGAACATTTTAGGATTCCATTTTCTTAAAGATGCGAGATTGGGAGCATTTCGATGATCTCTCAACATGTCGACGTAGAGCCGGTGGCTCATAGCTTATGGTGCTAACAGCGCTAATAGTGCAAACTCCGGCGAAGCAGCTGACATAGCTAACAGTGTTCACCAGAGTGTGGGTGCTACGCTTGTGACTGTGTTGTCTGTCGGCACGGCGTTATCAGCTATAACCGCAGTACAGAGCAGCTGCAGTCCGACATACTGTATATTGAAAATATATTTTTGATAATTGAGTCGATTCAGAGAGCATTTAATATTTATCAACAGCCTGAGTGTAATAGGAAGGGTACGATTCAGACGCTGACCTGACCTTGTCCTTGTCCTTTGTTGACAAAATATTTATTCTCATAACATAATGAGTGCAGAAAGGGTAGAAAAACAAACATGCCATTCATATTTGGTTCAGCATAGAGGAAGTGTCTTGCCTGGTTACAGAAATTTGAATATGTCGACTCCACCGAGTAGACAAATTTTAGACCAGAATTTAAATGTGAACATTTGCTGCTTTCTCGGTTTCATTTCATTGTAAATTTAAATCTTTGGGTTTCAGAGAGATTAATCCACAAAGAAAATAACATCAAAAATTATATCCATATATTTCTACTAATCGTTTAAGTTCTATTTCAAGCAAAAAGGGTAAAACATTTGTTTGATAAAATTGTACATTACATATCTGTGTGTGATGTGTTAAACACATTGGGTTCTGGGAAGGTGTGGCGGGGTCTTACTCACTATTTACTGAGATTCTATAGATTATATAAACAACATTAATCAAATGACTGAAAACATATTCAACAGATTAATTAAAAATGAAAGTAATCATAGTAGTGGCCTTATTCTCTACACTTAAATTGACTTTGTGATGATGAATAATGTGTTTGATTAGCCTTGAAAAGCAATGGCTGTGGGATGTAAGTGCCACAAAGCATCTCTATAGACAGAAGAACACGCTGTATATTCATACCTTTTTTACTCAGGTCAATAGCAGCTTCCAAGAGGACTTCTAACTCGCCTTTTGGCAAAACTGGAACGACCCAACGAGGCCTGGGAGGGAAAAAAACATGAATCAACAAAGGAATGCTAAGTGCTACATGCTAAGTCATGAGGAGAGGCTGGTTCATGGAGCACTGAATTGAGCTGGATTTGAAAATATTTTAACCTAAATCAAAAATACATAACATCACAAACTATGCAAACAAAATGTTTCTGTGAGAGCCTGTTAGTTCTGTAATTGTTGAAATTCAGTTGTCCCCTGTGGGTATTGTGAGCATCTACTGCTAATTATCAATTATGTGGATATTGTCACAATTACCTACAGACTGGAATTTGAGGAAATCCCACTTTACAAGGAATCCTGCCGTGGAAACTCACTTTTTCAAACAATATTTCTGTGAGCTGCTCAAAGACCTGTGTGCATGTCGTGTACCGAGTTAGAGGTGAGCGAGGATGCAGCCATGTGAGTAAATACCTGTTGATCATGTCATCCAGCTTGGCTAGGTCAGTGTGAGGGAAGGCGGGCTCCTCCTCTTCCAGCTGAGGGGGGGCGTCCCCCTGGCCCTGCTCATCCGGTGGGCTCACTGGAGAGTTCTCATTGGATGAGTTAGGAGATGATGTCTAGAAAAAAAACACACACAATCAGAATCATGCAGTGCCTACTGATCTCTGTATCATGCAGTGCCTACTGATCTCTGTATCATATACTACAGTACTACCTCAGACCAGGTATCAAAAACACAATACCTAAAAAGTACTTAATTCAAAGAATTAGTCACAGAGTTGAGTAGATTAAATCCTTCAGATATAAAGCTTGTGTGCATCATGTTTGCAACATAGCTACATTGTGGGAAAAATTTTAACATTTGGAAATGTAATATAATTGAAATACCTGTACTATGCAAAAGAAAAGCAATAAATTCCCGATTAGCTTTTATGTCCATTACACAATGGAAAACTAAATTGTTGGGGACAACAAACAGAAGCAACTTCATAACCGTTTGTTTCTCTCCACTTGTGGGGTGAAGAACTTCAAGTTAAGTAACAGCCATGTTGTTACACATCTAATATTTATTTCTATGTATTTAATTCATTTGTAATCTATTTATTGTATAGTTATTTAAAAAAAATTATATTTATTTTGATAGTGTGACTGACAGGAAACAGAGGTGAGGACTAGTTCCTGACTGGATGTCGTGGTAACAGGGCAGGTGTATTGAACCATTCAACCACCAGGATGTTTCCTGTCAATCTGTTTGGATTTTGTGTCTATTAACACATAAATGTTATGCCATAAATAAATATGAGAACCAACAGCATCATTTAAGGTGAGAAGAAACGCTGAAATAGCGCCAACACTTTTTAAAAGGTATATTTAAATATTTTTTGCCTGTCAGTTCACTGACAGTCATTAACTGAAACAGCAGGCTGCCGTTTATCCAATGTGCGTGCTCGTCTGGTCACTCGCTAACGAGGCTGTGCTATTTGTCGTTTATTAATGGGGCACTTTTAATCACTGGTGTATCGAAACAAAGGATCCGATACGGGCCCCGGCTTTATGTAGCTGATACCAATCCATCAAGATTCTTTAAAAATGGGCCCTGAACAATGCACCAGCTTCACCACATCCCTTGAAGAATTATTCTGAATTTACTAAATACTGTGTTCTTCCATAAATTAATCCAAATCTGCAGCAAAAGAACAAGACGACAACCGCAAAACTCGCTTAAACTTTCAGTAAAGCTGCTGCAAATTCAGTCATTTTTAGTGGAAAAATCCTCTAAAGAGAGAGTGGAACTTGAATTGCTGTTGCACACACACACACCGGTTTCTATAGAGCCATGTACCAATGGAGAGGCAAGGCCCACTTCTTGCATGGGATAGGGTTTCTATTGTCCCGGTCACTAAGTGTACATGCATGTAGGCATAAAGAAGCAGGTGTCTCTCCTGAAAGGCCTTTAAACAAAGCAATTCAAGTCATTATGCTCGTAGCATTTGGCGCACAGAGCAATGCTCTTTTCATCCTTATCCACCCAGAGGAAACAAAACCTGTAGGCCGACATGGATGTGTTAGAAGTATAAATGTGTTAGCATGTGGGTGTATCCGTGTTACGGTGCTGTCAAACAGACATTTTTTGGAAGGAAGGAGTGCTTGAGAAACAAAAGGCAGCAATGTGCATCCACGGATGTGAGTTTAAGCGCCAACGTGACCATTCCCGTCTTTATCTCCTTCCTAATCCAACGAGTGTGCATGAACATCGGCGGCGGTGTGAGCAGCTGTGTGTGACGGAGTAAAAGAGCGACACACATAGTGGAGGGAGATGCATAACTGAGAAATATGAAATGTGGGGGTGTGTGGTGAAGGCTCCTTCTGCTTGGCTGACCTACATAGGGCAGCTTGCCTCTCACGTCTCACCACGGCTCATCTCTAACCAATACAGGCCTGCACATGCACATGCGCACGCACACACACACACACACACATCCTTTATCCATCACTCAGGAGGCTCTGTTCATTGATGCCTCGCCTCCACTCTCTTTCTCCCTCTTTTCCGCTCCCTACTCCCCTCCCTTTTTGTCCCCTTGGGCATCTGTGTGTGGTTTAGGTAGGAGCAATATCTTCTTTTTAAACACTGTGCTGCAGTGTCTGGACCAACAAAATAAAAAGATATATCAAAAGACATTACATCCCTTCTCCTTTCACAGGTTAATCTAAAAGCATGTGTCTACCGTCAGTGTAGTGCACAGCCATGTAAAACAAAGACGAGACAACGCGATTGGATGAAAGCAGTAGCCAGCCAAAGGGGACAACAGAAATATTCAACATATAGGACAAAATATCGTGACAGACAATGAGTAAAAGTCTAAAGTTTTGGAACAATGATGCTGACCTGGTTCTGTGACAGTGGGGGTTGGCTTTGAGCATCAGGTGCCTGGCCCTGGCCCTGACTGTCGTTGCCCCCCACCGGAGAGCCACGCGTGGTGGCCGTCATGCTCGCCACGGGGCAGATCTTGGCAATCTTGGCCTCTTAGGGAGCGCTGGCCAGGAGGGAAATCACAGCCACCTCAGCTGTAGAGCAGAGGGAAGAGAGCCCAGACGCACGAGAGAGGGACACAAGCACCTGGAGATCTGGACGTGCCGCTGAGACCATTGCATAACCTGGAGCGGGGAAGAAGGGGTAAAGGTCACAACAATCAGCAGGCTGGTTAAACTGTAATGCACAAGAGAAACACACAAGGGGGTTGTAATCAACCATCTATATCAACTTGTTCTGAACGAGGCGGTGTCTGGTAGTCAACCAATTTTTTCTCACGACCTCACAAATGTTCTGTGGCCAACTGGATGTGTTATGAATAAGGATGCTACAGACAAGCTTTGGAGGGCCGACACAGATCACTGAAGTAAATTTGATGTAGAATATCCAGCATCGATGATTCAATAAATCTTAATTACATTTTATAAATTCAGGACCCGCATCATCTTACACTTAAAGTTGTAGATCGTCAATTGCTAACAGTTTTTACATCGAGTAATTTTGCCAACCATGACTACAGTGACCGGTGGTGTTGGGGCTCGCTAGCTCATCTAGCACTACAATTATAAAATCAATAATGAACAGCAAAATGAATAATAATATCAAACTTTGAGTCACCCCAAAAGTAATCCTACAAATGCTTAGTTAAATTTGAACTAAATTCTGTTGCATCTCGCTAACACAGGGCCCTCAACACTTGCTGTGAAGAAGTAGCCGGAGGACACAGTCTGCCTGAGTCCATCTCAAGTCCCACCACAGTCGACAGCATCATCTCAAATGTGTACACGGACGAGGTGAACATACAGCCTCAGGTGTGTATCGTGGCGTTAGGGCAACAATGATGAATTGTTAAGTGAACGCAGTGTTTTATATTTACTTTACTAGTTTTTCTGACTGGCATATTGAAAAACGACTGACTAAGTCATTTGTAATGCGTATTATCAGTCACTCTTTTTCTGTGCCCGATTCTGTTTAATGCAACTTGGGTGTTATTTTAGTTGTTTTGGCCATTGTTTTTTCACCAATTATAATACAATCGGCTAGCATACTTCACCAAGTGAATTGCAGAGATCTAAGAACATGGGGACATTGTCATTGCCGATAGGTCAGAAACCCTGAGCAGTCACATGGTCTGATCTTTTCAAACAACCCGCCAGTTCGGCCAGATTATCTAACAGACTTCATCTGGAGGTAAAACGTGTAGCGTCAATAATGTTTCCTCACTGAGAGGTTGAGCCAGGAAGTTGGTCCGTAAACTGGAAACGTTATTTACTGCAGAGTGTTTGGGCAATACCGGTTCTCTTTCCATTTCTATTCCAAAAATCTTTATATAATCTGGAGGTTTCTTTAAAACCTGCGTGATCAGGATGCCCCGTGAGCCAAATGTTTTAAGGAGCATTCCTTAAATGACACGGCATTCTCAGACGCAAGCAATTAACTTGAGTGATTTTTATTAGAAAAAGGAACGATGAAAAATACAAGGAAAAGACCCTACTTGTATGACACAGGAATCCCCCGTTAAATGTCAGTATGACAATCAGTACGACATGATTCAGCCTGCCAATTCAGCACTTGACTGTCTGATCAACAACAAATCCGGAAGAAAAATATGTCCTAATGCATTTCAATCCAATATGTCCAAGCTTCAGCTTTCATTACAGATAACTTTCAAACACAATATGGTTGAGTGGTTTTCATTTTTTTAGCATCCATTCTTTTTGAAAAGAGCCACATGTAACAAGAGATATTTTGGTCAGGATAACTGTACAATGATAGAACTATGAATGAACTGCTATGACATTTGGGACCTATACATTAGCACACATGCCTTTAAGTCAGCAGCCAAAAACCTGAAGTTTAATACTATATATATTTATAAACCAATTAGTCCCTGTTTCTTACGATGTTCAAGACTGGCCATTGGACAACAAATCAAACCACAATTGTTAAAGATAAAGTAGATGGCTGAAAGACACAAACAAGGCAAATGCAACACCCCACCGTTGTCTTCAAGTCATTCACATTAACACTCGGCTATATGCTAGTTCAGAGTCAATGCTGTGTTTAATGCATTTTGCCATTGAAGGTGGAAAGGGCTTCTATCAGGGTTACAGACTGGCAATGAAGGCAAAACCCTTTTCCATCGCGATTCCTGTGATCAAAATCAATACGATGCAGGGTATCATAAAGTGAAGGGAACGTGACTTGATGTTTTTTTTGGACAAAATGGAACATTTTCAAGACATCCCCAATGCTGTTCAAACAACTCAAAGCTTTCACAAAATTATCAATCACACTACGTCTTAGATTGACCCTTTGCAAGCGCCAAAGGATAGGAGTCCTTGAGCCATTGTGATCTCAATTTCAATTACTTTCTAAAAGAAACAGTCTGTGATGAGCCAATGGAGAAAGGCTCTCTAGGTCATGTGACTCCAACGGGTGTCACCGTTAGATTTTTCTTTTCTTTTCTGGATCTTCTGCCCAGAAACATCAATAGTTTGCCAGATCAACAAATGACTGGAAATAATCAAATTCAAGTGGAATGATGCACATAATACAAAGTTTAGAGATACAAATAAGTCAACCCCAAAAACCAGAGAACATAAACATCATTAAGAACCATAACCCTCTGGTAGAGGGGCAAACATGGGCCTTACAAGTTAACATGGGTACACTAACGTGGCTGATATGAATTTTGTTCACCATAACTATATTTAGTGAGTAGCCATGAATTTCTCATCAGATATGCATTGATTGAAACCAATTGTTAAAACGTATGTTTGGTTTATCTTAAGTTACAGTGTTTCCTAGTGTAAAGGTAGTGAAACTAGATTATTTCCTATTTTACAGGTCAGCGACATCTGCTTCAGCATCAGCAATTTGTTTTGCAGCTGTCATTACAGAGAGAACATTACATTGAAGTCATAATAGGCTAAATCTGGCTAGTGTGCTCTGCGTTCAGAAAACGAAATTCCATCGAATGTATCGAATGCCACAATCAGTGAAACCACTTGGTAGCTAACTATCTACTAATGGGGCCGATAAGGTGGGTTACTTTCATGACGCACAAAAAACAATGTTTTATCAACAGTGTCAAAAAGGTGACACACACGTTAACAACAGCCACCATTAAAACAAGCGCTAAGCTATGTAACATACAACTGCGGCCTTTAGGACTGAACCGACTGAACATTAGTTGATGTTATTTAGAAAAAAAAAAATACATATTTTATGGACGGATAAATCGGTCATATGACATTATGTGTGTTACCTTTGGAATATTGTCAAAATAAAATAGCCCAGGTGCATATAAAGCACACGGTGACATTACGTAAGTATCAATACACACAAGCATCGTCAACAACCGTTAACAGCTGATGGTTTAGTTAGTTAACGTCTGCTGCTAGCTAGTTGCTAGCTAGCTTCGGCAACTAACGTTAGGTTAGCCTGCAAGGCGATCCGCCCAGACCAGTGACGGCCTAGTCGTCCAAAGCCCTGAGACACACAGGCCTCATTACTCGACCGGGCCTGACACTAAACTAGCCCAGCAAACCGTCGCTACCTAACGGATGACCTTAAACACACATATAGTTTAGTTAATAGCCTAAGTCATCATCCAACATCACTTTCCCCGGGTTAATTGTTGACCAACAATGTCCCTATAACGCCATTTACAATGCGTTTCGGTCGTGCTAGTATGCTAGCGAGCGGCAATCTAGATAAACAGTTAACGTTAGCTAGCCGTTAGCTTCCGTGCGAGTAAATACCCGGAGGAGCGTTTAGCTAACGTTAACGTTCCTATTTTGACAAGCGGCTTGCTGGTATGACTCGACAACTAGCAGACTTGTTTTCATATCTATAAAATAAACACCCAGCGTTTAAGCTTTACACCACTGTGTAGCAATTTCGGCATTCAAAATAAATGAACCTGTCTGGCTACTTTAGATAACATAAAATATGTTAGTGACAGGGGAGGCGTCTATTTCCTGAAATTCAGTGTTCTGATCTGTATCGCCTAACGTCAAGTTAGAACTTAACGTTAGCTAAAACAAACTGAAAATGAGCTATTGGAAGCCCAAGTGATGCAAAATGTTAACAGCAATGTGGTTTTGACAAATCAACTATTAATTAAATATACAAATTGTGTGTAGAGGACGATGAAATATCAGTAACTTGTAAACATGAGACGGTAAAGGAAATGTTCTCAGGATGTAGACTGGGTCGAGAACCATTAACGTTAGCTCGCGCTAGCTTCAGTGAATCTTGCGGGGTAACGTTAAGCTAATCTGACTACACGTACTGCTAAAATCACGAATTGCAGTTTAATCGCGTTGACACCGTCACATTTTCAATAAGCAGTAGCTAGCAGAGATAAAACCACCATCAACTGAACATCACAAGTAACCCCAGTAATGTTACCTTGCATCCACCACCAGCTGACGCTAAAACTAGCCAGCTAACAATCACCAGCTAGTTAGCTAACAACTCACCAGGAATCTGATATGACTTCCCCCTCTATTCACGGGCTACGTCCAGCCTTCAACGATGGTATCGTCGTATATTACATAAACGCGGCCTATATCAGCGACAGTTTTGTAGGACCCAAAACCTGTTACTAGAAATATCTAATTCCTACGTTTTCTCCTCGGCTTCTGGGTGTTTTTCCTGCGTCACCGGCGCGGTAACAGCCCCCTAACTCTATCTAGTCCAATTTCTGGGGCTTGTCACTTCGGTCCCAGCAGTCACTCACAACTTGAATCAGTTCAACATGGCGGAAGCGCAGTCGGACACAAATGCCGCTCAGTAAAACGGGCCAGACGACTGTGTGAACTCCAGCAGTCGGCGTTGTCTATGAGCCAGTTTGCACCACAACGGAGAGCAGCGCAGCAAACACAACACACGGCTGAATGGAAAGGGCATAAAACCCCTCTCAATTCTGATAAGGGACTCCGGCTCCAGCGAGGTAATCCAGTCCGTAGTTTGATAAAAACCAGGCGAAAGAAACTGAGCAACCTGGCGCACTTGACTATATCGCCTCCTATCGCACGGGGTGGTCATACATGGATGGGTAACGTTATCGTGTCTTTCAAGCAAACACACAAACTGACATTAAATCATGTATTTAATTAGAGAGGGTGTGGTTACAAGGACACACATAGGGACACATTTAATATAAGCTCATGTCAAAGTCATGCAAGACTGCTTGGGCATGGAAATATTCTGTAAACTATGATCACTTTCACTTTTGTTAATTCAGTTATAGATTGTGGCCAGATTAAAGGATATGGTCCCAATATTTTATGTCTGTCTGTAAGACACCAAACTCATCAATCAGCACAGTAAATAGTCAACACCTTCAATCAACAAATTAGAGGGATTTCAGAAAAGGGGTTGCTACAGGCCATTTGTACTGATTCTATTACAATGAATAGGGGTTTGCATTTTTCTAGATACTCTATTCCTCACAGCTTCAGTAAACAAGCAGCTGGCAGGATTTAGGGATTGAAGGGGGACATTTAATTTATGACCAGTTCACTGGCAGCATTGAGGGATGATACAAATCTTTTCATATCTCTAATATTCAATTTCAAAGCCTGCCTCTTGGAGTCAGTTTAATATGCTATATATTGTCAGTCAATCTTTTCTGCCATACCCAATGTGTTTTATGTATTGGCGTACACAAATACACAATACTCCACCACCCCTGGAAGCCAACAAGGTTATATGGGAACAATATGAGCCCCTTTCAGACATGAATCTGTAACACTAATGACTTCATGTACATAATAATCTTGATCAAATACACCACTAGGATAGCATCATATTTACAAAATAAGGCAATGAAAGTCAGTAAATGAGACAATAGAAAATATAGAAGAACCTTGGTATGACTCATTACAGTGTGAGAATGGATGCATGTGTTGTGTCACTTTGCATATTGTGTATGTTTCTATTTAAAGATGCACCAATCCAACTTTTTCAGTCCCAATACCTGAGCTTTGGGGTTGTCGGATGATAACGTTCCGATCCAATTCTTTTATTACTTTAATTACCCCTGTTTCACAAACGGATACTGAGAAGTGTTGAGCTGGCTATAGAGGTGGGGACATGTAGCAGTAAATCAAAATACAAATAAATTGTGACCTCTCAAACGAAACGAAACAAAATTTAATACATTCAGATCTCCTATAAACCATCTCTTGGAATGCTTTTCAAGGTAGACTTGACCAAGATAACATACCATTAAAGATGGCAGGATTTAATAGTATTATAATCACATCTGTGTTAAAAAAAATCAAGCACATGAACACAAGAATATCAAGTATTTAAGATTTGATAAAGTTGTTTAACTGATGCCCGAGGTATCGCTGTCAAAAGCTCTACACATCAGATCTTATGAGTTTTAATATCATATTAAGTTGTTTATTGTTACAGCATTTTGTGATTCATTAAGTAATGGATTTTTTGGCTCTTTGTTTATTCGTTAACCTTCTGTGTCATCTGCAGTAGTGGAAAGTGAGTAGTACTGAAAAGTACATTTACTCAAGTAGCCTACTGTACTTAAGTACAAGTTTGAGGTACTTGTACTTTAGTCCCGCTTGATACTTTCCGTTACTTTATACTTCTACTCAGATTACTAATACAAATTATAACCAACAAATACAAAGTTACGTTATCGCAGATTAAGCTACAAAGCAGTATATAAACTAATTACAATGACCGTTGCCCCCTGCAACATTAAAGCATTACATCATCTATCAATGATTATAATCCAATAATTCAGTGTGGCTTTGTGGCACAAGGCAGTAAAACTGCCTGTGCCATAGCACACTGTATATTATCCATCGGGCTTACCCATAATAATAATCAGGTTTATCCAAAAGTTTGGCGTGCCTCTCCTCACACAGCGTTGCCAACAGCGGCGTGAAAAATATATCAAAACGTGCGGCCTGATCGGGAATAGTGCGGAAACTATTTTTCGGAGAGATTCGCCCAGCGGTTTTCCCGAAAATCCCGGAAAACCCCGAAAAACAGAGCAAAATGAAGTTTGGCGCGCTTCTCCTCACACAGCGTTGCCAACAGCGGCGTGAAAAATACATCAAAACGTGTGGCCTGATCGGGAATAGTGTGCTATCTATTTTTCGGAGACATTCGCCAAGCGGTTTTCCCGAAAATCCCCAAAAACTGAGCAAAATTTCTCCATTCACTTGAATGGGGTTTCGGCGTGAAGAGAGCTAAAAAAACACTTAACTTTGGGCCTATATTGACTAGCCGTACATTTACGTAGAAACATGATTCAAAGTTGAAAACGTAGACAAAACGCTGCACTTTATTGAGCCAAAGGGACATTTTGATAGCTATCACAGTTTTCATGAAGTCACAGATTAAGTTTCAGGAAAATTTTGGGTCTGTTTCGGATTTTATAATGGGTGTGTATTGCACGGCTCGTTAAGAGCTAGAGTGAGAGCATAACTGTCAGAGTGGAGCGGAGCTCTGCGAGTTCATGATTTTTGTTCAAAATCACTGTTTACTGTAATGTTTCTTAATCAGTCTGCCTCTAACACCAGGTGCGTCCTCGCCATGGCAACCAGTTACAGGCATGCAGGCTCTCTCTCTCTCCCACTCACTCAGTCCATCTACCTGTCTGTCTGTCTGTCTCTCTCTCCCACACACTCAGTCCATCTAACTGTCTGTCTGTCTGTCTCTCTCTCCCACACACTCAGTCCATCTAACTGTCTGTCTGTCTGTCTCTCTCTCCCACTCACTCAGTCCATCTGTCTGTCTCTCTCTCCCACTCACTCAGTCCATCTGTCTGTCTGTCTGCCTGCCTGTCTCTCTCTCCCACTCACTCAGTCCATCTGTTTGTCTGTCTGCCTGTCTCTCTCTCACTCTGTCTCTCTCTCCTCTCTGTCTATCTCTCTCTCTCTCTGTCTCTCTCTATCATACAGTCATTCAGGTCTTAGATATTTTTAGAGGACTTTTCCCCTCTCACCCCCCTCCCCCCCATTTCAAATTAAAAGCCCCACAGAATGAATTCTAACTGGAATGCTTGTGATGAAGCCTCTCATTTTAGTGACAAACATTATGATTCTGTCTCCTCTCCCCCTCTCTCACCCACCCAGTCCCACCCTTCAAAATAAAAGCCCCACAAATACAAGTTTCAATCCAAGAGTATAAATCTAAAATGCAGAAAAGAGAGTAGCGCTATCTCAATTGAACCTGAATGACACTACCTGTAATATTGGCGTGTGTATATATTGCGATTTCTTCGGGCAGTAGAAGCCACACTGTCAAAATTTCTTTAGGAATTTTCTAGTTTAAAATACAATATTCTTAAATGGGTCATTCTGCACAATTCAAGTATATCATGATGTTTATATTTTTTTGTACTTTTACTTGTAACAGTATTTCTACCCGAGTATCAGGGCAACAGATGAGAGAATACATTAATGAAAAAATGACAGACGGATCGAAGCTGCCAAGCTAAACTACGTCTGTAAACACACAAGCACATCTCTGGTGTTGTGAACCTGACACTTTCCACCTTGTTTGGTCCCAGTTAATCCAGTCTGGGAACCAGGTGTCAAACACAATTATGAGGAGACTTTCACGACTCTCGCTCCTCAAGGCTCTTGTCCGGGTTTTCTTTCCCACCGGACATATGGTCGGCATTCCCGACAGCAAAGATGGCGGCTGAGCGGCGTTGAGCCTTCTCCGTAATGAGTTACCAAATGTGGTACATTTGTTGAGTTTTCTGCCGAATAACGGAACCAAGTCCACGCCGAGAAACTGGTCTCGTGAAAGAGATGTTGTGAGACTGAAGAACATCTTTTCACAAGGAGTTACCTACTACAACTAGATCGTTTCCCCCCGTTGTAGCGCTGGGTGGTTATCACCGCAGCTAACTAGCCCATATCGTCATTGTAAAATGGCTCCGGTGCAGATTGGGTCAGATGGGCAGCTTGTCCCACTCGGGGGTCCGGTTGTCTCGGGTCCGCAGCCGCCACCACCGGGGGCACCGGCCACACAGGGGGTCCGGCTGAGCCTGCTGATTGAATTTCTTCTCCAGAGGACCTACCACGAAATTACGCTGCTGGCAGAACTGTAAGTAACACTTCAGCATTGTAGGCCTCAAAGCTAACTAACCGGCGGGCTAATAAGCTAACGTTTACGAACTCAAGATGATGCTCTTCTCCCAGCCACCATAACACAACTAACGGGCGCACTACGTTGGCGCTAATGGAGGAATTAGGAGATGCTTCTTCATATTTTAAACCCTAAAAACGTGGATAGCACAGATAACTGTCGTTACTGTTATGCGAGGGGGCGTACCGGTAAATAGCACATCATAATTTGTCTGAAGAGCCTAAAGTTATATCTATGTTAACCAGCGTTAATAGTTAGCGTTTATGTGGGGCGTAGATATGTGACTTTATGATAGACCACTTGCAGTCTGCTGTTAACTGAAAATATGAACGTTTACATTTGCTGTAATCAAAGCAGTCTCATATAAAGGATGCGCAGTATTTATGCATGTAATAATGTTATGTTGTGCTATTGCTCTACTGTTGAGGATGAGGAACAATTGCAGTAATTAAACGTTTTAATGTTTTTTCTAGACTTCCCAGGAAAACGGACTTGGAGAGGTATGCTTCTTTGGATTCTATTCAGAACTTGTCTATCCCTTCACTCCTTTAGTCATGCATTCTGTTAAGCTGTTGTTTTGAAATGTTGTAAATCCCCCTTTTCATTTTTCTTTTTTAGGAAAATTGAGATCGTCCAGTTTGCCAGCCGTAGCAGGCAGCTGTTTGTGCGTCTGCTATCCCTGGTGAAGTGGGCCAGCAATGCGGGGAAAGTTGAGAAGTGTGCGGTATGTTGCTTGTAATTTGACATTCCTGTTTCGGTGGGTTTTTATAATCAACTGCAAACTGACTTGTTTCCTTTAGAACACCAATAAGCTTACTTCTTTCTGTTGTATCCATGGTGACAGATGATCTCCAGCTTCTTGGATCAGCAGACCATCCTGTTTGTGGATACAGCCGATAGGCTGGCATCGCTGGCCAGAGATGCCCTGGTACATGCTCGCTTGCCCAGCTTCGCCATCCCCTTTGCCATTGACGTTCTCACCACAGGGTCATACCCACGCCTGCCCACATGTATACGAGTAAGTCTGTTGAACCCCCTTCTCTGCTGGCTAATACTGCTAACGTGTATGAAAATATGTTGGGAGATCAAACTCGTGCTTTAAAAAAAAGTTTCTCATGCACGTCCATTTCTTTAGGACAAGATCATTCCTCCAGACCCCATCACCAAGGTTGAGAAGCAGACCACCCTGAGCCAGCTCAATCAGATTCTACGACACCGCCTCGTCACCACAGATTTACCGCCCCAGCTAGCAAACCTCACCGTTGGTAAGCAGCCAGCTAAACCCACTAGGGTGTACTATAACTGACAGCCGTTCCAATAACATATTTAGCATTTTGTTTTTAGATGTATTTGCTATGGGAAGATTTCATGCATGTGTTTGCTTGTGTGTATATTTTCGTAGCTAATGGGCGCGTGAAGTTTCGTGTGGAAGGAGAGTTTGAGGCCACCTTGACGGTGATGGGAGATGACCCCGACATTCCCTGGAGGCTGCTGAAGTTGGAGATTCTGGTAGAGGACAAAGAAACTGGAGGTAAGGCGTGCACTCATCACACACACAGTGGGTACCGCTGACACACTGATTGACAATATACTTAATTTGCTAATGTTTTCCCTGGTTCGTCTCTCCGTCACCTGATTCCCCCTCCCCTCCACTTTGACAGATGGCCGCACCCTAGTCCACAGTCTGCAGGTGAACTTCATCCACGAGCTGGTCCAGGCACGTCTGTGTGCGGATGATAAACCCCTACAGGACATGTACAACTGCTTGCGTATCCTTTCTATCGACGTTGCATTTTGTCTACGTCGTGCACAAAACCACTTGGCTTTAGTCCCAGTCTGATGGGAACTGCTGCAGTGGGGCGGGAGTGTTTGTCGGAGCATATAGAGTATTGACTGGTCAAGCAGACGCTTGCAGCATTCCAATGAGTAACACAGCTGCAGAATTGCATCCGAGTTAAAGCCCTGTTTTTTTGTTTTTTCATGAATTCTCAAAAACAAAACTAAACTGCCTTTTCTTGCTGACAGGTGAAGGGCAGCACTGTTTTCCATACAACCTGTCACTTAGTCATATCATGTGAGGTGTAATTAATTCCCTATGGAATATTTGTCCAACATCTTTTAATACTGCGCTAAAAAACGCCTTTGTGACATTTTTGTACCATCATTTCAACATCAAATCCAATCCATGAGCATTAGTATTTTCAGGCAGTGATGAGTGCCATTCACTATGTTGTTGCAACCTGTACATAAAGTAGGGAGAGGATTTGTTCTGACCATCACATGCCTATACAACAGCTTGTAAGCATTCATGCACATATCAAAGGGCCTAATCAAGCATGCAAGCCAACCACGACTGTGCTAATCACAATGCTAATCGGTACATCTCTGCTGTGCCTTTCCCCCACCATCGCCAGCAGTGCAGCTCACCATGTCAAAGAGCAGTCTGTGCTGGGCACAGATACCCCTTTTTACCAACAAAGTGTATGTGTGTGGGTGTGTGTGTGATTTGAATGTTAATGGAAAGATGAGTATAGTGCTTGTCTTTTTTTTTTTTTTTTATGTTTTTAACTTTAATCACCTGGACCTGGTATTTTCCCACACTGTTTTCTTTAACCACATTGTTTCCAGACTCCTTCTGTCTGTCACTGCAGCTAGAGGTGCTCCACTCTCAGACTCTGATGCTGATCAGAGAGCGATGGGGAGACCTGGTGCAGGAGGAGAGATATATGCCCGCAAAATACCTCACACTCACTGTCTGGAAGTAAGACGTTTTACAATTGCCCTTACATAGAAATTGAAGAGAACACTGTGTTCCCAAAAAAAACGACCAAAATTGAATGATGAGAGAAAGTTGGCGGATGCATGAATGTAGGTTTCATTCTTATTCTCTGTTCTTTTTTTTGTTTGTTTCACCAGCCAACAGGTTTTGGGGCGGAAAACAGGTACAGCCTCAGTGCATAAAGTCACTGTCAGGATTGACGAATCAGATGGATCTAAACCATTGCAAATATCTCATGAGCCTCCTCTCCCGGCCTGCGATCCCAAATTAATGGAGAGAGCAATGAGGGTAAGGTGGACTGGACATATGTTTTCGGCGTAATATAACGTATGGGCAGCATGGCTTACTGTGCAAATGTCGTACGGACAAATAATGTTTGTGTTCTCTCGCTCGTCCCTTAGATCGACCATCTGTCGGTGGAGAAGCTTTTGATCGACAGTGTGCATGCACGGTCCAATCAGAAGCTTCAGGAGCTGAAGGCCATTCTGAAGACCAACAATCCCAGCGACAACTGTGTGTATTTACTCTACTTTCTCGTCATTAAATCAGTGAAACACATTCTTGGGTATATATCGAGCCAATGCACAGAAATCCGTGTTGTCGCCTCCAGCAGCTGCTGTGCTAATCAGTGACAACAGTTGGTAAAAAAGAGGCCTTCTTAAGGATGCGGAACGCTTCACTTTAACACTGAAAGAAATCTAATGGGAGGATTTTCTTGGTCTTAATTATGATAAATTGCATGTTCAAAACTCCCATTAGCTCAGAGCGACTTGCTCTCTCACGCTTTCACCCATTTGCGTTCTGTCAATTAATGTTGTACCATGATTTTGAGCCTTGTGCAAAAGAGATACTAAGTGTGTGTTTGTTTATTTCAGCGTTCATCGAGACTGCTTTACCCACACTCGTTATTCCGATACTTGGGCCCTGTGGTCGTTCGGAGTGCTTACACATTTTTGTAGACCTGCATTCTGGCATGTTCCAACCCATGCTGTATGGATTAGGTAAGTCGTAGCACACATTAACTCGTTGCTATTTTTTCATTATGTTAGTTCATTGTGTTGTGTGTCCGTTTTTTTTTCAGGTTGTGGGTTTGTATAAGGGTTTGTGTGTGTGTGTGTGTGTGTGTGTGTGTGTGTGTGTGTGTGTGTGTGACAACAAAGGAATCAGCAGTTTGGCTGGTAGTGTATCTGGGATGATTTAAACGTTGGTCTGCTCTGCTCTGTGAGAGTGAAACCCCGGTGTGTTCTCTCTCTAGATCAGTCCATGCTGGATGACATTGAAAAGACCATTAACGATGATATGAAGCGCATCATATCCTGGCTTCAACAACTGAAGTGAGTTCTCCATTTGTTAAATAGCAATGCACATGACATGTATATTACCAGCTGACCGTTTAAAGTATTGTTTGGCACAGGCAAAAGATAGCAGAGGCTGTTTGGAGTCAACAGTAGACGGCGAAGTCTGATGCCTGCTAGCGTGTCAAAATTGACTAAGAACTGTCGGTAGCAACACTTGGCTTAGCAGGTGGCGAGATGGGTGTTGAGAAGGATTGCCATGGCTCTGAATTTCCCCGAGTCTTGCACTTGTGAACTGTGGGAATGCTGTGTGTAATAGTATGAGCTATTAATAAATATGGGACTTTTCACTACTTAGATTTTGTTTCGACACCAAAATCGTTCTTTTTCTCCGTGGTAAGGTTCTGGTTAGGGGAGCAGCGCTGTCGGCAGTCCGTGAAACACCTTCCCACTGTGTGCACTGATGTCCTTCACCTGTCCAACTCGGCTTCCCATCCCGTCGGCAACCTGTCCAAACACAAACTCTTCATCAAGCTCACGCGTCTTCCGCAGTACTACATTGTGAGTTCCTCAACCAATATGTTGTTGGGAACTGCTGCTTGAAGAACAATCTCTCCACAAAGTTAAAAAGGTTAGGATCTGCTTTCATTGTTATGTCCTTCTATTTTTATTTCTTTTTTTTGTAGTTGGTGGAAATGCTCGAAGTGCCTAGCAGCCCCACAGCGTTGCAATACAAGTACTCCTTCCTGTCCGTGTCTCAGTTGGAAGGAGACGACGGACCCATGTGTGCACAGCTCCTGCAGCACTTCAAACCCAACCTAGAGCACCTCGTTCAGGACACAACAGGGAGAGGGGCCCGGCCTGGGACTAAGAGAAAGGTAGTTAGTGCTACTGTAGTTATACACCAACCATTCATTATTTCATCATACACACATTTGTTTTTTGTTTTAATGGATGTGGTGCTTGCCTAGAATTTAGAACTAGGACCTTTTTTGTCAATGACAGACAAGCCATTAATAAGAAAAACCATGTGAGCCCAGCTGGATAAATTAAGCTAAATAAATGTCCTTCAATATGCATTTGTTTTGTCTTCGTAGGCATCTGGGTACCAGGGGGACCCAGAGCCAAAGAAGCCTAAGCGGTCTGGAGAAATGTGTGCCTTCAACAAAGAGCTGGCTCACCTAGTAGCGATGTGCGACACCAACATGCCTTTCATTGGCCTCAGAACAGAGGTAAGTCACAGTGCTCAGAGAGTTGGAATCCATTCATGCCAATCGTAGATGTCTCGTAAAAAACAATATCAAAACATGGCAATGTCAGTGTTTTTTGGCTAATGCTGTCTGTCTGTGTCCGTCTTTGAGCAGCTGTCCAACATGGAGATTCCAAACCAGGGTGTCCAAGTGGAGGGGGATGGCAGCAGTCATGCGATACGTCTACTGAAGTAATACACACAGTCACAAGCACACACGCATGCATTTATGCACACACGACCACAGCTAAATGTAATATTTTTGTAATATAAAGCGTGAATAATTTTTGCCCAAAGCCATTGTGACTATTCAGTGTAATGCTTTTATTTTGCAGGATTCCTCCCTGTAAAGGTGTAGGAGAGGAGACCAGGAGGGCTTTAGAGCGGTCCCTGCTGGACTGCACCTTCCGGCTGCAGGGCAGGAACAACCGAACCTGGGTGGCCGAACTGATGCTGGCCAACTGCCCTCTGAACAGCACACACAGCAAGGAGCAAGGTACACACCACACACACACACAGTGTGCTCCCAGTTGGTCACTAAAAGTTTACAACGCGGCCCAGCGTCTAAACAAACCCATCTGTCCCCTGTACTAGCCTCCACGCGGCATGTGTATCTGACCTATGAGAACCCTCTGTCGGAGCCGGTGGGCGGGCGCAAGGTGGTTGAGATGTTCCTTAATGACTGGAATGCCATCAGCCAGCTCTACCAGTGTGTCCTCAACTTCTCTCGAGCGCTGCCAGGTACGTGCTCGGTCATCCGCAAAGCAAAGATTTCACTAGCATGTAAATGAAAGACTGTCTTAAATCAGCTGATATTTTACTGGTCATTTTGGTGCAGATGTGTGGATTTGCGATGACGGTGATACAAACATTGTTTCCTTATTTTATTGGCTTATTTTCAAATTTAGAACCCAGAATAATCAGATTTACTTTAGTAAATTTGAGCCGTGTGTGTGTAGAATTCTGCACGTACTTAATTCCAGTTAGTTAAGGCTAGCACTGATCAGTGTCACTCACGCTAGTTGGTCAATGCTGAGCAAAAGAAACCCACTGATCTAATGCAGCTGCGCGTTGTGACTGCTTCCCTCCAGAGATGCCATCTTACCTGAGCCTGTTTTCAGAGGTGCGGCTGTATAACTACCGTAAGCTGGTGCTGTGCTACGGCACCACCAAGGGCAGCTCTGTCACCATCCAGTGGAACTCCAACAGCCAGCGTTTCCACCTGGCCTTGGGCACTGTGGGGCCCAACTCCGGCTGCTCCAACTGCCACAACATCATCCTCCATCAGCTACAAGAGATGTTCAACAAGGGTCCGAACGTGATGCACCTGCTGCAGGTAAACCGCAGCCAAAACATGTACAAGTGACTTTTAAGGTTCCACTTAAATGTGTTCACATTACTTCCTCCCTTGTTCTGCGTTCTCTATCCACATCACATACCATCTACTTACAGTGTTGTGTGTGATTTCCTGGGTAACATTTCTACTTATCATCTTCCTCAGGTGCTCTCTGACACACAGGCCCCTCTGAATGCAATCAACAAGCTACCAACAGTGCCCATGCTGGGCCTGACCCAGCGCACCAACACTGCCTACCAGTGCTTCTCCATCTTGCCCCAGTCACCCACACACATCCGCCTGGCGTTCAGAAACATGTACTGCATCGACATCTACTGTCGCAGCCGCGGCGTGGTGGCCATCAGAGATGGAGCCTACAGTCTTTTTGACAACACCAAGATCGTTGAAGGCTTCTACCCTGCTCCCGGACTCAAGGTATCCCAGGCTCGGAGGCACAGCGGTGGTGTCAACTAACAAGAGTTTATCTGGGAAAGGGTCTCTCTAAAAAAAATGAAGTTTCTGCATGAGCAAAGAAAATCCTGCCACTTTTAGTTCTAAAAGTGGCAGGATCAGGGTCCACCCAAAATCCACAAGTCTGTTTTGGAAATCCACAAATTTGCTTTCTTGTCAAGGGGGAGATGAGATGCCATTCTAATATCTGTACGCTAAATATGAAGCTTGAAGTCAGCAGCTGGTTAGCTTAGCTTAGCATAAAGACCGGAAAAGGCTAGCCTGGCTCTGTTCAAAGTTTAATTCTACCGGCATCTCTAAAGTCACTCGCACTGGAGTCTTGTGATCACCGTGATCGGCTCCAGCAAACTCACTGCACCTGACCAAGAAACAGTCTGACACATAACCCCCCCATGAAACCATAACGTGTTAGTTAGCTTCAGAGATGCTTTGGGTGGCAGATTTTGTTATCTTTGGACTACCAGGCCAGCTGTTAAGCTAACTGCATATTTCCCTTCATGTGAAAAGCTTTTAAATTCTATGTGTTGAGAACACTTAAGGGTATTTTCTAATCAGCACTACAAAATACTACTTGATTCCAAATGTAATACAGATAAACAATTTTACGATTAACAACTCAAACCTTTTTTTGGTCCATCTTTTAACATAAACTTCTGTCCTTCTCTCGTGTCCCCCGTCCAGACATTCCTGAATATGTTTGTAGACAGTAATCAGGATGCTCGCAGACGCTCCGTCAATGAAGACGATAACCCGCCCTCGCCGGTGGGCGTCGATGTGATGGACAGTCTGATGAACCAGTTGCAAGCTCAGCAGCAGCCACAACCAATGAGAGGGGGCGCGGGAGGCGTGTACCCACCTCTCACCTCGCCGCCACCGAACTACCACGCTAACGTAACTCCCTCGCCGTCCATGATGCCCACCCAGTCGCCAGGTAACGGCAAACTTTGTGCTTGTCCCAAGTCTGTGTGAGTGAATGATTTCCTGTACTGTTTGTGTCATCTGAGCTTGTTAAGCTGCCATGCAGGATTACGACCGCAAATCATTGTTTTTGAATATATCCCATTGCTGCCATCAACCTCCCTGCTGACTTACGCATTTCGTTGCCAATCGTGTGAATATTTCCAAAAATGAGGAAGAGCAACCATGTGTGCCCATTTTGATTTTCATAAAAAAAAAAAAAACATGAGATCAGCTGTTTCTCATGCAACATGCACACACCTCACAGCTGAGAGGGAACAAAGCATGCATTTAGTCCTGCTCCTTCCATTCCTCTCCATCTCAGCCCACCAGCCAGAGACTACAGCCCTTCCGCCCTGCTTTAGCATGTGTGTACATGCGTGAGTGAGTGTGTGTGTGTGTGTGTAAGAAGAACTTGTCAACCTAAGAGTCTGACGAGTCCTTTGGTGTGTGCGTGTGTGTGTGTGTGTGTGTGCGCGTGTGTGTGTGTGTGTGTGTGTGCGCAGGGAACATCCATGCCTCTGGCTCCCCTAGCGGAGCTCTGAGGGCACCTTCTCCTTTCGGGCCCACCCCGTCTCCGTCTTCTCTGGGCATAGCAATGGGCCAGACCAGCTTTGCCAGTCCCCACGGTAAGCAGCAGGGTGGCCGTAAAAATTCTGGCCCCAGTGGTAATTCTGGTCTGTGGGACAAGGGCTGGAATGGGCGGAACTGAAGAGCTGCATTTGGCACTGCAGACTATATGACAAATGGCCTGTGGTCAGTGGGCACACGGTGGTGTATTTGTTTCACAGTGTTTGTTGTTGTTGTTTCGTCGCTGATGTTCTGGTTCTCCTTCACCATAGGTGCTCTGGACCCCAGCTCTCCGTATGCCATGGTGTCTCCCAGCCATAGGGGCCAGTGGCCAGGCTCACCCCAGGTCTCAGGGCCTTCTCCTGGGGCTAGGATCCATGGCATGTCCCCTGGCAACCCATCGCTGCACTCGCCTATCCCCGACCCTCATTCTCCACGTGCCGGATCCAGTAAGTACTCAAACCTAGTTTGGCACTGCTTTACTTGCTTGTTACTTATTACCCTACATGTATACAGATACAGATATGTTTGCAACGAGATGATGTCGTCTGATGTGTCAGCGTAGCTCTATTCAAATATTTAAATGTTTCTCTACAACAGGGGTATTCAATTAAAATTCCAAAAGGTCCAGATTGAGAAAATGTCCTCGTGTAAAGGACATAACAGAAAGCTTTTCAAAAATGTGCATCTTAAAATAAAGTATTTCACTGAATTCTCCTGCAGCTTTAAATTCAGTTCATTCAGGTGTGACGTGATGTCAATAAAAAAAGCCACGATATTATATTTTTCTCATCTTCTAAAAAGTTAAAGTGAGCATGGACTTTATCTGTGGTTATTAAACCACTTGTTTCAGTTATATTCTCTCTGTTAACATCATTGGTCAGTGAATTCATGTGTTATGATTCTGATCATATTGGACTCTTAGGTTTATTTTCTGTGTCTTCATTTAGATGTGAGTGGGTACGTTTGCTCAAAAGAGTTGTGCTTTGTCTCGTAGTGTCGCTTCATTTACCGCTTTTAATAATCGCCACGGTCTCTAAACATATGAGACACACTGGTTATAAACTGTCTGTGTGAAGAATTAACCTATAAGAGTCTGTTCATTCTTGGTTAAAGACTCTGGTCTCTCTGACCACTTGTCTCTTTTTGGAGAACGTCATGTGAAATAACTTCTCTGACTCACCTATTATTCTCCTGCTCTTCCTTCTCTTTCCTCGTGTCTCCCCCGGTGAGTGTACATCTCACTCGATTCAGGAAACTTGTCAGAATACCCATATTTGATTGGCTGAGCTGCTTCACGTGATGTGATTTACAACGCGTTAGTCGGTGCGTTTCCTGCACCACTGAACAAGTGCCGTAAAAGCTGCGCCGGTTAAAATAGAAGCACTCTATCAAAATAAAATCCATTTTAGGTCCTGGGTTCGGATACAACGGCGTCTGGGTCCGGATCCGGCCCACAGTCCACCAATTGGCGACCCCTGCTCTACAACTTCTTTCTCCCTCTCTTGTCTTTGGTTTAGGTTCACAAGTCATGCCCACTAGTATGCCTCCACCCCGCAAGCTACCTCAGCGCCCCTGGGCTGCCTCCATTCCCACCATACTCACCCACAATGCCTTGCATGTGCTTCTGCTCCCCTCGCCCACTCCCTGCCTGGTGCCGGGCCTGGCAGGAAGCTACCTCTGCTCGCCACTTGAGCGTTTTCTGGGGTCGGTCATCATGAGGCGGCACCTTCAGAGGATCATCCAGCAGGAGGCCAACGTAAGTGCCGCACTCATTTGAAGCGATAATTCCACTCAAATTGCATTGTGTGTTCTGCCCCCCCCCCCCTAACTTACCCTGCTCTGTCAACTCTCGTCCAGTTGTCCATTGTGAACTCTAATGAGCCGGGCGTGATAATGTTCAAGACGGACGTGCTCAAGTGCCGTGTGGCTCTCAACCCAAAGAACTACCAGACGCTGCAGCTCAAAGTCACTCCAGAAAATGCAGGTCCCTGGTCCCAGGAGGACCTTCAGGTGCTGGAGAAGTTCTTTGAGACACGGGTAAGAAAGAGCAGCAGCCACTTGAAGCCTTATTCATACATTATTCAAACATATGCATTGGAGGCATATGAACACACATAGTTGAGTTTAACATATACATGATAAAAGTTTTGTGTTATATTTATATATTGGAAGCATTTAAAACGTAGTTGAAGTGTAGTGCTTCAATTAAAAGACTCGTCAATTAGGTTTACAGGGATGGACTTGAAGGCCATTCATAGAAAGACATGCCTGCACTCATGCTGTTATTATTCCATTGATTCATCTGCTGTGGTCCTTTTTCTAGGTTGCTGGTCCTCCCTTCAAATACAACACTCTGAATGCCTTCACAAAGCTGCTGGGAGCGCCCACTAACATCCTGAGGGACTGTGTGCGCATCATGAAGCTCGAACTGGTGGGTGGCACTGTCTTTTTTTTTTTTTTTTTTTTTTTTTTAATAAGAGCGGTTGTTACAATGTATTGAATCATGCTTGTGTCTAAGCCCCCTCAGTTTATCTGTTGTTTTTAAAGTATTTTGATCCGTATAGCAAACCTTTACTTCCCTGCTGGCAAACAAGAGTAAACATTGCAACAAGATACCAAACAAGTACACTAAACGCTCTGATAAACTGTACTGCTGTGTAGTAGAGAAATGTATTTGTGTGTAATGAATGACACAAGATATCCATCTTATATGTTGATGCTGTTCTTTACCTTTTTGAATAAAGCCATTAGAATTGCCCATGTGTTTGAAAGGTATTATACCTATATATTGCTGTTCCTTGCAGTTCCCTGACCAGGCGGCTCAGCTGAAGTGGAATGTCCAGTTCTGCCTCACCATCCCTCCCAGTGCCCCCCCCATCGCCCCTCCTGGAACCATCGCCGTGGTGCTCAAGTCCAAGATGCTCTTCTTTGTAAGTCTCCTCAGAGCCTCGACATCAGCTCCGTGTAGCATCATTTTGAAACAACCTGACACCCCCTTGTGTTTGGTGCGTTTTTACCTCACAGTTGCAGCTGACCCAACGTATCCCAGTGCCCCAGGAGCCGGTGAGCATCATCGTGCCCATCGTGTACGACATGGCCACCGGCCTCACGCAGCAGGCCGACATCCCCAGACAGCACAGCTCCTCTGGCGCCGCAGCACTCATGGTCTCTAATATCCTTAAGAGGTTTAATGAACTGCACCCAGCCAGACAGGGTGAGACTCGCACTGAATAATTGACTGCGTCGATAAAGCGTTTGCTAAACTGAAAGTGGTGTCAACTGAATATTCACCGTTGTTATTTATACAAAATGTCATTTCTAACGCTGTGGTGTTTTTCTGTCTTTCTTTCAGGTGAGTGTACGATATTTGCTTCTGTTCACGAGCTGATGGCCAACCTCGCTCTACCCCCCGGCACTCGTCAGTAGAAACTACATGCTCAGAACTCTGGAACTCAACCTGACGGGCCCATCTCTGAGCATAGAAGAAAGAGGAAAGTAACAACTGTGGTCCCAAGATGTCAAAATCTAGCCCGTGTCTCTCCGCTTCAGCCACTGGACTATTGACCCGATGTGGAAATGCTGTTATGAAAATAATTTAAATATGTACAGTTGTGGACCACAGTCTTTATTCTTGATAGGAGCTCACAGACAAGATTTGCCATTAAGGTAGAACATGGACGAGTGGGGGATATAAATGTTATTTTTTTTCCTCCAGGTGCACTTGTAAACAAGATTATCTATTGAAATTAAGGTTGTTTACGAAAATATGTATTATATTGTATATTTGAGTGTTGAACAGAATCAGGTGAGTTAGAGTTTTTTCTAGAGAATTGTCTTTAGTTCTTTTTTTATAACGCCAGACTGATATTATTATAGTATCAGGAGATATATTCCTTAGCACACTATTTAAATGTTTTCTTTCCTTTACTTTGACAAGACCTCTGCATTTTTATTTCAAACTTTCACTTTGGATACTGTAAAAACTGTGACAAACTTTATAAGCCAGTCATATTTTATTAAGACCCATTTTGAGTCCTGATTGGAGGATTTGAGACTTCCTGTCTGACTTTGCTATTTAATAAACCAAGCCCAAAGTTGGTTTGTGCTTCAAGGATCTTCCACTGGCAGCACTGAATTCATCCGATCACTACACAAATACTATATTTTAAGTAAATGTCCTGCTTATATATATGTAATGAATACAGCTGGGACAATTCAGGGGTTATTTGATCAACAGGAAATGAATCTGCAACTAGTTTGATGAGAAATTACAAGTCATTATTCCAGCTAAAAGGCCAATCAGTTCCTAGTTCCAGCAAATCTGCTCAGTTAAGATTTGCTGCTTTTTGAAACTGAAGGCAATTTTTCAATGTGTTTTGACATTGTGTAGCCCAAATGATCAATTGAGATGGCAGATTAATCAGTAATGAAAATGACCATTAGTTGCAACCCTAGCAAAAAAATGTTTTGGTGTAAAAGGTACAATAAACCCCTTACTAAATTTGGTGGACTACAGGTAAGATGCGGAATGAAAAGAAAATACTAATTACTACATATAGTACTTTAAATCTACTTCGTTAATCTCCAACACTTACATCCTGGTTGTCTTTGTTGTTCCTGTGTTAAACCTGGAGAGAGACGCTCTGCATCCTCATCCCTAAAGCATGACATCATCCAGACAGGCCCAGTCTGTGTGGTGGGAGGGGACGTTCAGAGCCGCAAATCACGGACTGTGACTGCACGGCTGTCGTTGCAAAGGGCGTGAGCATTGTTTTTATTTTTTGTATTATTACATAGTTGCATGGATCCTACGGGTGTTGAGGATGTATTCTTCAACTCGCGGCTGCGCGTGAGCGTCGGCATCTGCGGGAAAACGAACGAATTGCGGACGAAGAGACTCCGTGTCGGCTTTTATTCACCTCGACTGAACGTTTGACACTCGAACGCATCCACACGCGATGGATTGGATACTTAATGACATAAGATGAATACATAGACTCAAATGGTAACGTTGCCCTTGCTGCCCTCCTTATGGCTTTCATCGGCGCTGCACATTTAGGAGAATAGCGAGATAACCACCATAGTCCGATATGGCGGTGAGCACATCCGAGCCGCTCTGCCGGCCGTGCGTCTACCACGAAGCTTTCAAAGGTAAGTCCCGGCGCTGCACACAAGTTTTTTTATTTTAATTATTTCGGGCTGTAGCAGCGTTGACATCTTTCTGGTGTTCGAATTGCATCTCGGAGGAGTTTGTGAACCGGGCCGCGTCTCATTTCAACACACTGACCACTCCCCTTCGGTCCCTGTAAAACTCCTCCATCCTCCCTGTAGGAACTGTAGGCTAGATGACGCATGCACGTTGTCCCCCTCCCCCCTTTTAGTTATGTCATTAATAAGGGGAGATGTCAGACAGGCCTACTGATTTGGTTGCTGTGTGGTCAGTGGAGCTACAGGTGAGGAGACCCCTGATACCGGTCCAGCTGAGTCCGGAGCAGGTGGGCCTGGAGATGTTGTGTCTTTGCGGGCAGCTGGACCTCCTCATCAGGGCACAGATGCAGCAGGTAGAGTTGACCCGAGCACCTAAATGCATCACTTCCACCGGTGCTGACAAAGATCACATTTAACTCCTGCACTTTCTGTCCCAGTTTCTGTTTCTGTTGAACTGTCAAGTCAAATTTGAGTCACATTTCATATACTATATTAAATATATAAAAATAAAAAAGTAGCCCCATGCATCTCCATCAGCCTTAACCAAAGCTAATTAACGGTTATATAATGTATTAACCAATGCACAATGCGAGCCCATTAAACAAGAGTCAATTAGCGCTGGGTGTGCAGCAACTTAATTACATCAGCAAATGTTGGCCGTCCATCACGTTGTATGAGGATGACAAGACATGCACTTGGCAACGGCCTGCAAAGAATATGTGTAGAACTGCAGTTAGGGCTTGCTCATGCTGTTCCGGCATCTTTCTTTTTTTTTTCTTTAGTTTTTTTTTTCTTTAGTTTTAAACTAAATACAGTGTTTGTTAAATCATAATTTGCATCATTCTGCTTGATGGAAACCCATTAATAGGAAAATATCCCTTCAGCAAAACACCTTTTTGGGGCATCATTAAGGGTGCTTTTATTAGCCAGGAGCACACATTTTCTTCTTCTTAAATTGTATTAAATTGTGCGCACACACACACACACATGCTATTCTTTGAGAAGTCCTTATGATCCTTTCCCATATTATAACTCTGACATTTACGACGGCACTCAAAGGCAGCATTAGACTTGAAGAAGTCATTGCCAGCTGAAGCACGATCATGTGCATTATGTCCCAACATGCCAAGACTTATGAACTGGTTTCAGGTCCCACTGTTCATTAAGCACTTTCACACCATTCTCTGCATTGACGCTCCTTTTAATCCGGCGACATTATCGCTCATAGTTTCCATGTTCCAGTTCCAGGAGCAGTTAGGACAGGGCTGTAGCCCAGAGGAGTCAGACACTTTCCAGGCTCAAGGATCAGAGATTCTCGACCAGATGCTGCAGTGCCTTGAACATCTACCAAAGCCCATGCCCCAGCTGGAGGTATAAAGTCTGATGATATTGTCTGAATAAAACAAGAGTATTCACGTCACACGCTTCCCTAAAAGGGGCTTGAATTAAAGGCTACTGTTGCTTGCCCTAAAAGCAGAGGCGTCATGTGTTTCCTCAGGACTACCTGGACATGGTGGGTCTGTCTGTAATGTTCCCCCGTGTGGAGGTGTTCCTCATTCAAGGCAGCCCAGTGGACATGCTGGAGAGGCCGCCTATGGACGGTAAGAGGAGGAGGAGGAGGAGGGAGAAGAAGCACATTGCAGTCTGTTGGTGTTTTTGACGACAGATTATGTATGGATTTAGAAAGGCATGTGAAATATCAAGGCCTTTTTTATTCTAGCTGGGATTCAGTTCAAGACATGTAAAAAAAGAAGAAATAAAAGTGCAAAGCTGTCAAAAAGCAGCTTGTTTCTAATTTATAAATATGTATATTGTATCTTTCTGTTCTGTATTATTCTAAACTTGGACACCCAGACAGCGATGGGATTTTAACTACTCAAGCAATTGTACTTGACTCAATTATTTCTATTTAATGCTACATAATACTGAAAATACATTTATATTAAAATATATTTGACTTATTACTCTATTTGACAGCTTCAGTTACAATTCACTTTGCAAAGGAAGATTTCACACACAACGCACAAGATTGCCTTATAGTTTAATTTGCCTCGTTCTAGATTAAACAGATTAAACCAGTAGTTTATAAAATGTTCAAAATAGGCTCGACCTTGACTTTACATTAAATGTATAGACATGATAAAACACTCACAGGGGCCTTTATTCTGCACGATAAGCACATTTTGCTGATAATCCTCCTGTGCTTCTATGTAAGAATTTGAATGTGGTACTTTTTCTTGTAACGGAGTATTTTTACACTGTGGTATTGCTAACCCTACACTCCAGTAAAGGAGCTACATTTACTGTATGTTCTCGCTGCACACCGTACCAGCTGTCCACGTGATTCGAATGCGTTCCTTTTTTCCTCCGAAAATATCGACTAACGTGAGCCGATGCTTCTCCCTGCAGAATACTTCTCCCACGTTGCCAAACTGAACCAGCTCCTGGTGCTGAGTCAGCAGCTGGAAGAAGATATCAGGCACCTCGGAAGCCACAAATACATTGCCCACCAGTTGTCGGTCCTCTATGTGAGGAGAATACATTCCTATAGTGCATCAACCTCTATATTTTCATTCCACTGTGCTTTTTAACATTGCTTTTTTTTTGTTTTGTTTGCAGCAAGTCGTCAGCTCTTTCAGAGGAATTCAGGCTTTCTCCGAAATGAAGAAAGACATCGAGGCCAACTTCAAACAGATGAAGCAGTCTCTGGTGGTGGAGGAGGGCTCCAGGCACGAACCTCAGCTGGCCGCTCACTACATCAACTGGTGAGTTAAGAGTCCGAGCATTAACTTGATGACGATTACTGCAGCAACAAGCTGATGTCAACCCTGCTCCCTGCGTAGGATATTGGAACTGACACGGAGCTTAACGTCGGCGGTGTTGACGCTGCCGGAGGAGCTGACGGAAGACCTCGACCAGGCCGTGACCTTCGTGTCCCAATTCCTGTCCTGACTCCCCCCCCCCAAACCCAACGCCTCTGTGTCTATGAACCCTGACGTTCCGGTGCACCGGGTCCCTCCAGGAGCCTCTCGATGAACTGTGAAAAGGTGCTAGGTCATTCGATTCGACCGGTGAGATTGGGTGCTCCATTTACGAATCATGTAGGTTTTTATACATCGTCCTCCTGAATGTGGCCTATGTTAGTCCCTATGGTGAGTCAGGTGGAGATGAATGTAATGTATGAATCCTTCCTTGCACTACTGCTATAACTACTGTTATGCTTTCCTTTCTTTTTTTTTACCGAAAGTGGAATAATAAAATTGAATGCAATAGGGGAAAGTGTTTGTATTCTCCCTGTTCTCGAGCAGATGTGATGATCATTTCCAAGGATGGAGCTATAAGGCAGGAACTTTGAGTGGTCATTACAGTTAAATCACAGGCGTGACTATGAGCAAAGGCTCCTCTTCCCTCACTATAGTGTGTGTGTGTGTGTGTGTGTGTGTGTGTGTGTGTGTGTGTGTGTGTTGGTGTGTGTGTGTGTGTGTGCGCGTGCAGGTGCACAGCTATGCAGCGAGCCAAACAAACTTGGTGGTGTTGTAAAAATGTATTGTTAAAGATGCACAATATAGATTCGATTAGCGTTGCATTGTCCCTCATAAAATACATGTTGTGTACAAGTATCATTAGTGAAATATCAACATTAAAGGCCCTGAAAAATCTATTTTCCTATTTCAGTTTTGAGTGATGACCTCCGACATGAACACAACTTTGCAGTTGCAAACGGTTTTGGTAGTTTCACATGAGAGATTTTCTCTGTGTTTTTGAAGTGGGCGAGGCTCCGTTTTCATAGGAAGGTCAACAAAGTCAATAATCCAGGAAACATTCAACGAGTCCACAAGAGTACGTGTGAAAAAAAATTGTAAGATACATAACAGTTAGTCCTACGGTAATTTTAACAGTTATTTTGAATTATTAGCAACACATTAGCCTCACACAGCTAGTAGGCTGTCATGGCTCGTTTAAAAGTCTGAGCATTTCCATTTTCTGCTGCCAGACTAACTTATAATGTTATTGAGTAATGATACTTACTCTGTCTGTCTGTGTGACGATAAAAATATAATAGAAACAGTATAATTCAGTAAAAAAGTAGAACATGCTCACATAATATATCGTGATATAGTACAGTGTAATATATTATGGAAATAAGAAATAGTAGCATATCAGGTGAAATGTAGTAATGTAAAATAATACACAGTATAGTATGCAGTATGAGTATAGTATAGTACAGTATAGTATGATAAAATACAACGAAGTATTTAATAAAAAATAAAAGTATATTTTGATGCCAATATTTTTTTTCACTAAAGTATAAAATTGAACTCATGACTTTTACTTGTAACACAGTATTTCACTCTACACTGTTGTATTGCTACTTTGACTTAGATCTTCATTTAATTTAATTTAAATGTATTTTAGGATTACTCGTGACATAACGATGATGAGTAAATGGCTCCTCCTGCTGTTCAATTCCTGCACAATGATAAATCAGAAAGTACCACGACAGCTCCCTTCTGAATTAACAACCTCTGGTCTGGTTAATTAAAATAATCGCTACACTGGGGCATTTTTATACCAAACTCAGAGCATACAGGATACAACACGACGATATATAATGCTGTTTATTAAAGCACTACATTGTGACGATTGCTGTCTACAGATTACCTCATGTCTTACGCGCCCTACAGATGTTTGTTTACAGTTCTGAGGTATGCAGGAAAACCAAACCGGACAGACCCTTCTGTCTGTGACAGCCGCCGGGGGAGGGACTAAAATGTGAGTGACGCTTTTGAATAACCAATTGCATACGTTCGATTTGGTTCGCCAGCCAATCAAGATGCGGCTAGGCTGTCCGGCAGCTTGACTATGAGAGCTGGGGGGAAAACAAGGAGGATATTCGTGGTGGAAAACGTTTTTTTTTTTGTATTTATTAAATGTGATAGCCTTCGGATTTAAAATAAGATATCAATGAACATTAAGGCAGGATGAATCAATGTGAAGACGGTGAGTTAAACAAGTTTAGGACAGGCGACTGACCTGTGTGTTTACCTGTCAGTCATCTTTGTCACAACGTAAACACACCTTAGGGTAATTCAGGGACTTGTAACGGACGTTTTCAGCTTTTAGAAAACAACACGTGTCGGCTGGCAGAGTCGCAGCATAGCAGCGTTTTGTATGTCAGTTGTCTCTGAAAGCCTGAAGGGGCCACAAGCATCTGCTCTGCCGGAGTGTCCATGAGCAGCCCTTTCAAATCCCCTCTGACAGCTCCTCCCTGTGGAGGGGGCATACATTCATGCATCGGCCCTAAAGCCCCCCCTGCAACACCCCTCTAACTGGAGATTATTGGCAACCTCCTCTCTCTCTCTATACAGATGTAGGGTCAATGTTGATCAAGTATCCATGTTGTTTTTCTGTTGCACAAACTATTTGAACTACCTTCTTTATTTGAACCTTCCTTCATTACACTGTACTTCCAGATGCAGAGACGCACACCTGAGCCCCGTGTTGAGATCTGAGGAGGAGATGATACCAGATCCCACCGCTGCATCCAGGGCCACAGAGCAGAAGTAAGATCAAGATAAACATTTATTGATTCCCAGACGGGGGCAATTCTGTTGTAACAGCAGCACAAAGACAGCAACAGTACAGATAACTAGAGAAAAAAAGACAAAAATAATGTAAGAGCGTATAATAAACTAAATTAATAATAGAATAAGAAAATAGAATAGAAAAACCCATACAAGCACAAGAACAGATGGAGACAAAATGTGCAGAGTGAAGTGAGAGTGGAATGGTTACGCCTGATGTGTGTGTCCTTGACAGTGGTGGAAGAAGTACTCAGATCCTTTACCTCAGTAAAACTGGCAACACCACAGTGTAATAAAATAAGATAATCCTTTACAGGATTACAGTGGCATAATGGATCGTGCAAACAAGTATTATAAATATATAAATAAGTAATAAACAGGAAACATGATTGCATTTTTTTTTTTAATGCACACAATTTGTACACGCAAGTTATTATCATGTGCTATAAGATAAAAAACATTGGCTTTATTGTTCTGAGTAAAAATGACCTCCAATCAGCAACATAACTGAAAACACCTGTGTCTGTGGGCCCTTTAATCTATAACCATGCTTATCATATTTAATAAGTTGATGTTTCGTTTGTAAAATCAAAGTAACTATAGCAGCTGTATAAATGTAATGGAGTAAAAGGTACAATATTTCCCTCTGAAATGTAGCAGAGTAAAAGTATATATTGACCTATAATTAATATACTTAAGTAAAGCACAAGTACCTCAGTATTGTATTTGTGTACACTACTTGAGCACATGTTCTTAGTTACTTCTTAGTCCTTGAATACCAATCATAGACTGTATATAAGAAGTGGACGTAGCATACTCCGCTCTATGGTCTATTTGACTCTTAATGGACCATCATTTATTAAATGAACATCATGCTGTATTGAAGAAGACTTGAAACTAGAGATTGAGACCATAAACTCATGTTTACAATGTTTACAGAGGGAATAAATCAAGTGAGAAGTAGAGTCATTTTCACATGGACTTCTATACAATCTCACTTTTACAAACCAGAGGAGTCAATATAGAGAGAAAGCAGGTTTTAAGACACTTCCGCATTGGCTTCACTCGGCAGAACCGGAGGTTGCCGCCTGATGCCAATTTGATTTTCCAGTCTTGTAATCTAATTTAATGTTTTCACTTCCCAGTAAGAACTCTCACGATGAGGCGAACTCCTCCAGGGCTGTCAATCAATCGGAGGACGAGTCGGGGAATGAGAACATACAGAAGAGCGTGGTAGGTGTTTTTCTGTTCATCATTTAGCATGCAGGTTCTAAAGGCCTGATAGCAACTGTTCACAAGAGGAGTAGTATTAGAAGAGCGCTATGATGATACCAGGAAAGGACACATTAGTTAAAAACCACAGGTGTAAATAATAGGGATGCACCGATCCGACCTTTTCAGTCCCGATAGCGATACATGGTCTTTGGGTATCGGCCGATACAGAGTGCTGATTTAATATCACTGTGTGGAAGAGACTGGGATCATTCTCCTATAGGTAAAGGCAACATCTGACTTGACTTAAACATTGCTTTTCTAACTTTCTAAACCACAATGCAACAGATAAATACATAGATATTAATGTACTTATTTGTTATTTATAATAATGGTATCCCGATACCAGATCGACCAATTGTCACCGATACCCGATCCAGCTGTTTGAGGTGGGTATCGGACCGATATACGATATCACTAACTATATTGGTGCATCTCTTGTAAATAAGATAATGAAAGATGGCTGGATTCCATTCTGGTGTGCCTGCTCACTGTCACACTGTCACGAGTTACTGGGACACCTGAATAGAAGAGAGCCAGTAGGCTTGGTGCAGTTTCTTTCTCTATTTTTCATACCTTCCTGACATTTTACCAGGATATACGCTACATAAAGTCATTCTACCATACATGACACTGTCTAGCCTACAGGGCTGTGTGTCTAATATGCAACAAGCCTACTTTACTTTAAATACTTAAATATTTATGGCACATAGAATAATGAATAGATAGGAAATGTACGCCCACTTATTGCTGCAGCGGTTACCTACAGAGATGATATGCAGGTGGTGGTGATAGACTGACTGAATCAAATCATTTGGCTAATAAACTTTTGTATCGTACCTTCAGGATACCCTGATATATCGTAATACCTTGATACCGTGCCGTGGTTGATGTTATGAGTATAAGAGATAACACCTGTGCTTTTCCTACTAGTTGATTGGATATTTAAAGTAAAGAAACAATAAGTTAATTGGCAACTTTTTTGATTAATGATTTCACTCATTTTTAAAGAAAAAATGCCAAATGTGAGGATTTGCTGCTTTTCTTTGTCAGATATAATCGTAAAGTGAATATCTTTGAGTTTTGGTCATTTGAGGACCCTGGGAAGTTATAATGAGCTTTGTTCAATATTTTCTGACATTTTACAGACAAATCACTTATTTGTGTAATTTCGAAAATAATTCGCAGATTAATTCATCATAAAATAATCATTCCCAATTGCTCCCAATCTCTCATTGCTTTGTGTCCAACTGACTCTCATGAATTTGCACCTTGAATCCTCGAGGTACTTCAGTGTTTACTCGGAATTTGTCATTTAGAAATTTGTATTTGGCCTGTTAAGGATGCAGCACGCTGGTTATTAAAAACTCATATATTTAAACCCGCAGAGACGAAGAAAGAGACCACACGAGGGCTCCGAGAATGTCAAGCGCAAAAGGGCCAAAGCCAGTCGCAGCAGTGTTGGCGGAGCAGGAGGCAGCTGCCGCAAACGGAGACATGTGGAGGCCGTCACCCTGTTCGAGGTGCTCACCATGGGCAGGAGTGCCATGCAGGTGAGGCCAGCTCACCCTTAATTTGAAAGCCAAAAGTGTTTTTGTATTTTTCTCAGAAGTAGTGCGAGAGACGTGCACAGAACACATGCGTTCACCTTTGAGTTCTAATAAAAAAGTTCTCGTTCTGTTGGTAGGTTTACATGCACATTAATATTCCAGTTATAGTCTAACTGATGAGCACTTGCAAAAAAGACAAAAGAATGAGCCCATTTCCTTATTATAAAAACACCTGAATATACTAGCTGGGATATATACAAGAAGTAAACACACTAATTGACTCTTGTGTAATGTCTGAGCAGTCGGTGATTGATGATTGGATCGAGGCTTACGGGACGGACAGAGACTCTTCTCTCCTCGACCTCATCAGCTTCTTCATCCAATGCTGCGGTTGCAAAGGCAAGCAGACGACACACACACACACACACGCGCCCGCACACACACTCACGCATTCCTACATTGTCAACAGTGGACTATCGGCTACTCCAACCGAGTGGGGACCTTTGTTTCTGGTCATTTTGAAAAATACAAAAATAGGACAAAACAAATCTTTTTTTAAGGTCTTTTTTTCAGAATGTTACAGCAAATTTCTTTTTTTTATTACTATATTTTTTAAAGAAGTTGCCAAGAGCGAATTTGCAGTCTTGCAATATCGACCTATCAAAGACACACACACACACACACACACACACACACACACACACACACACAGACACAGACACACAGAACATACACAATCAGACGTTTCTCTCACGTGTCTCCCAGGTGTGGTCACAGCAGAGATGTGTCAGAGCAAAGAGGACAGTGAAGTCATGAGCAAGATGGTGGAGGAGCTGGATGAGGTAAGAGGTCTTCAATCTTAGCTTCTTCCAGTGTCTTTATCAAATTTAACACTTTGTACTGAATCCGTATGACTGTGCTTGTTTCAGGTTGCCGGTCTGCAGTACAAGAAGTTCCTGGCCTTTCCCTGGATCCTCACAGTCACGTGGCCCATGGACACAGTCAGTAGTACCTCCCTGCTTAATGGATTTGTCCTGACATTTGCATCTTTTTTTGCCTTCATGCCCAACTATTTCTTCAGTCAGGTTTATAACAGTGATCAACATGTCAGTTAATTGCATTAATTATATTGGTGTTCTATCTTTTTACCTGGAATCCCTATTAGCTACTACCAAAGTAGAAACTACTCTTCCTGGGGTCGGTAGTAAAACCACTACATCACAATGTAAAAACAAATAAATTATTTAATCAAAATCTAAAGTTAAAAATGAAACAAAAAACAAAAACAAACAACTGAAACGCTACAACAAAAACCAATAAATCAACAACAATAAAACCACTAATAACAATAATAACAACAAATGACAATTAGTCAAAAATTGAAACAAAAAAAACTAAAGAAAAACATGCAAACTACAAAATTTATAATCAACAACAGGCAGCACCATTAAAAAAACAGCGTATTCAGCTTCCGAAATATGAATAAACCAAAAAAGTTCTTCATTAAGACCACATGGTCAGATATTATGTTGCAAAATGTGTTGTATTTGATACAAATAATATGACTCAAAATCGCTCCATCATTCACATGTTATCTATTCCCTTCATAGCAGTAATTTGAGACAATGGACACTAAGCGGGTTAAAGGTACCGTGATGAAATCAGGGCCTTTTACAATCATGCGTTTACCGTGTTAACACTACTTAATGCTGCTGTATTCTTCCTATCTGTTTGTTTCTTCACTGTGTACACCGTAGCACTGAAGGGACACAATTTCTCTCCCCTGTTCAGTACTTCATATGGAGAGCAATTCTCCCTTGACCTTTGAGGATGACCAACTTCTTTCTTTCTTTGCTTCTAACTGAACTGATATCCAATTGGTTTAAGCTCCAGAGTGATCCCTGACCCGTCCCAACATACTCCTTCACCTCAGGAAAGTAAAGATGCCAAATATCTAAGTGACTCTCTTCTCTAACCTTCAAGTAGTTGCTGCCCTTCAGAGTGTGTTCTCTCCGCTTCCTTTCCCCCCTCTCTGCAGGACAGTGTGGAGTATCCTCTGATACAACCCGGACCGTACGGCCGCTGGTTCCACTCTGAGTTCTGCGACTTTGTGTCGGTGCTTGTGGCTCGGTGTCAGCACAGCGTCATATTTGACAGTTACCTGATGAACACCCTCATCTCTCTGCTCACCGAGCTGTCGGACTCCTATGTGCGGGCTTTCAGACACACCTGCACGCTAGCAGGTAAGGAGTAGAAAGCACACACGGGTTGGGTTAGCCCAGTATGAGAGCGGCTCCCTCCTAAAAATCTGGGTGCAGGGACAAAGGCAACAACACCCATGAGAAAAAGATAAGAAAACTGAATAAAGGGAGACAAAAGGGGGGGAAAAAGGGGTGGACTCCATTAACTCTCCCTTGTTGCCTCCATCCAGGGCTACACCAAAGCCCTTATTATATATAGATTAATTTACCTATTCCTTTTTACTTATTATTGTATTACATTTTTCCCTTTTTAAAATTATTATTACATTTACCTTTATCTATCCTGACCATTACTGTTATTATTGTTAGTGATGATGGTGAAGATGATAATAATAATAATAGTAATATTATTATCATTATTGTATGTATTATTTATTTAATAAACTTACTTATCAATGTTATTATAGTTAACATTTATTTATTTATTTATTTAATTTATCTATTTATTTATTCATTCATAGATTGATTATTCATTTGTCTCTCTTCTCTTCCTCCTTCTCATCAAACATTCCTGTACATACCTGTGGTCACAGCTATTCACATACAGGAATATATGACACACTCACACAACACTTTGATATATACGTACACAAGCACTTACAATGCTCCCAGTCACAAAAGCAACCAAAAATCTTTACCATATTCGAATTATAACATCTGTTTCGTACGTCTTATGTTAATGTCTGTATATTTTGTGTTACAACTTTAGTCTGTATAATTTGTTTAACAAAAATCTAGATTAAAAAAAGAGAAGCAGATACAGATACAGATACAGATACATAAACACAATCAATAAACGAATCTCTGCTTTCTCTTTGGTTTGTATTTGTGACATCCCTTGTAAGCGGTGAAGCTACTGAGCTCTCTGGCGGCCGCGGCTCTGAGCCTGAGCGTCGGCATTGAAAACAGTCAGAAACTGTACCAGGTACAGAAGACGAAGACGATGAGACAGAGAAGCCCCCCGCAACAGGAGAGAATACAGAGGAAGATCGCAGAGGTAAGACCGGCGTCACTCAGTGTCTATCTGAAGGTATTTATCTTTGCTCCGTAAGTAATGTCTGACTCGTACCCTTCAAGCTGCGGGAGAAGAGGGCGGAGATAGAGACCATGATGGACGACATCTTCAAAGGAATTTTTCTGAAAAGATATCGGTAAGTGTTTCTCTGACACTGTTGGTTTCACAGTGCATACAATTCAGTTTAGAGCTGATTGTTGTGTGTGTGTGTGTGTGTGTGCCTGTGCAGCGATGTGCTTCCAGAAATCCGCTCCATGTGTATGGAGGAGTTGGGTTTGTGGATGAAGCTCTACAGTTCCGCATTTCTCAACGACAGCTACCTCAAGTACATGGGCTGGATGATGCACGACAAGGTAAACGACAGCAAACACGTGATGTAGCGTAATGCGTCGTAACGCAAAGATTACACAGATATAGTCTGGATATTTTTGTGAAAAACAAAATCTTTCAGAATGTAGACAGACTGCTGTGAAACCATGCGTATCATGGTTTCAGGTACCAGATGTGCGTCTCAAGTGTGTGTTAGGCCTCCAGGGTTTGTATGGCGATCCTCCGCTCCTCCCTAAACTGGACCTGTTCACCACCCGCTTCAAGGTAAACAATCCTGCTTAAAGTTGCATTCATGGATTATGACCACTAGGGGCAGAAAAAACATAAACATCAAATTCATTATCAACAGTTACATAAAGTTGTAGGGAGAACGTGTCCTATTTACACAAATATTTCTAGAAAACAGCCTTTTCACATTTCACAGAGTTGATTCAATGTTACCTTCCAAAATATGATGAATGCACGTTCAGACCGCCACGTTTGTAGAAGTGCTCATGTTTGTTCTCCAGGACCGGATGATCTCCATGACCCTGGATAAGGACAATGAAGTGGCAGTGCAGACCATGAAACTGCTGCTTCTCATCTCCAAGTGAGCCGCTGGCCTTTCTCATCGTTTTCCAAACAATTCCACCATGCTTTCCTGCTATATGTCTCAGCATCAAACCACCTCTTGACTCCTCAGAACGTCCGATGATGCGCTCAGTCCAGAGGACTACAAGCACCTGCTCCAGTTCGTCTACTCGTCGCAGCGCCCTCTTGCTGCCGCCGCGGGGGAGCTGCTCTTCGCACGGTGCGTTCATCTCCATCACTTGGAAAAATACCTCATTTAATTAGTGTTGTTCTGAACATGGCTGGCCTGTCTCTGTTAGGCTTCTCAACACCGAAGTCCCTGCGTCTGATACCCAGGGTGAAATGAATGAGGAGGAGGCACATGAACGACAAACATCCGCCAGACTGAGGGCTCTGCTGCTCTTCCACCAGGAGTCTGAGGTGATTCGATTTGAGCCTCCTGTTTGAGTTCAGGACAATGGACCATGGAATGGACTAACTAGTCTCTCTTGTCTTTCAGCTGCAGAAGCATGTGGTGTACCTAGTGGACAGTCTGTGGGACTGTGGTGGAGCCCTGCTGAAGGACTGGCCCACACTCGCGTCCATACTGCTGCAGGACCCCTCCTCACACAGTCCAGGTGAGTGTGACGCGTATGTCCATGTATTCGTAGGCAGACGTGTCCTTAAAATTCTTAGACCACCAGAGGATCAGTTCGACTGACGATTTCGTTGATTTGGAATTTGCAATTTACTGACTTTTTGTGCTTGTTTTGTCTCCATGTATGTTTTAGCACGTCTGTAGGCCACAGTACTTCTACATGTTAAACAATATGTCTTTTTTTAAATTTAGTTCAATTGTAATCTGTTAAAGGGATTCAGAGCTTGGTCTGCCTTAATTTCTACATTCATGAATTATGGTTTCATATTTTATTTGATTGTTTATTGAAAGCATTTTCTTTAGGGTTTGTCTCCGCCTCTAACAGCCTCATGTACTTTGTTTGCAGTAATGTATATTTCCGCCATAGACATGGTGATAGACATTCTCAATTCACCTTTAGGGGGAAGTCACATGCCTTAAGTCTACAGCGGTCATCGTGTTGTGTGTGTGCGTGCGTGCATGCGTGCGTGCGTGCGTGCAGGTCTTACCCGGGCTGATCAAGTGGTGCTCGTAGAGATCCTGGTAGCTTCGGTGCGTCAGGCCTCAGAGGGACCAGCGCTGGCAGGAAGGAGTGGAGCCAAGAAGGTCAGTGGGAGGTCCATCCTCAGTTATGAGCAGAGAAGTATCAAGATATTTTACCTGAATAACAGTACCAATACAACAATGTAAGAGTACTCCACTACAAGTAAAAGTCCTGCATTTAAAATCCTACTTAAGTAAAAGTATCATCTGCTAAATTAACTATAAGTATCAAAAGCAAATGTACTCATTCAGCAGAAAAATGGCCCTTCTAACAGACCTATTCAATAATATTTAACATTATGTTGTCAATACTAATGCAACATTGCTTTCCTTTAGCTGCTTATGATACAGTCTCAATGTAATCCTGATGCCTCTATATGACCTTCATAAGTAAACGAGACCATCAGCATGAAGATTGGCTAATTCTGTACAGTTATTCTTCACGCTTGTCATCTGTGCCACCGGGTCGGATTCAAATAAAACCATGCAGGTTCACCAGAAACTCCTTCAGCTCAGATTTGTGCGGGTCTCTGGCAGCCACAGCGTCTCCGCTGGGGGCCAACACTGACACCACGCTGCTAGAGACCCAGGCTGTATTGCGTGGCCCGCTGGAGGGAAGGGAGACTGGACTGAGCGGGGCAGACTGTCAGACCCCTGCTGCAGTAACATTAGAGGTTTTCTTAAGGGAATGTAGTGCTCGGAAACACTTTGTCCAGAGGGAGCTCTAAAATCAACACAAAATGAAAGCTCCTCATGGTAGCTTTAACTACTTTACATACAGTTAGGTAGTTTCATCCAGTGGTTCCCAATCTAGGGGTGGGCTCCCTCCTATGGGTCACAAAATAAATCTGAGGGGTCATGAGATGATTAATGGGGTAGAAAAGAAGAAAAACCAAAGTTCTGCTTTACAAATTTGTCCCTTTGGACTCTTCTTAAATATTTGCGTTTTTTGTGAAATAATTGATCTTTTTTTTTCAATGGAACTATCTGAAAAGTTTAGAGGGGAAACGACTAACAACTCACGAACCAAAAAGATTAGAAACCACTGGTCGAATGTGAAACACTTTTTTGTATTTTCTAATCTTATACGTTTATTTTCTGATGTAAAATCTTAAGCAACTAGTAACTAAAGCTGTTACAAATGTAGTGGAGTAGAAAGTAGCAGAAAATGGACAAACTACAAGTTCCCCAAACGTATACTTATGTACAGTATAGTTTCTTCCCACCGTTTGTTCGGCAGTTCTGGTGACACATGAGTCACTTATGAATCGAAAGCATCGCTTTAAATCTGGAGTGAAACACGTTGAACATGTTTGGTCATGCTTTAATAAACCAGTCTGTGTCTTTAATGTTTCAGGTCATGAGTGCCAGGGAAAAGAAGATCCAGATCGATGACTGTACCAAGCTCACTGATCATCTCCTCGTGGTGCTTCCTAAATTACTGTCCAAGGTATTTATTTATTCCACATTTATTCCACATTCTCTTTGCTGCACAGTTATATTCTGGGCTTTATATTGTGATAATGTTTGTGCAGTTTTCAGGCAGCTATGACACCATTGCCTCCCTGATGATGATCCCTCAGTACTTCCTCCCCGAGTGTCCCGAGGCCGACAACACACAGGTCTGCATCGATGGACGCAAACAACACCATGAAGCCTTCAATGAGATATGAATGTGGTGACACAGTTCCCTCATCTTTTAATTGCCACTATAAACACTGGAGCCACGAAATACAACTTAAATGTGACAGTTTAATTCAGAAATTATTAAAACTATTTGCCTTGCTTGTCACTACTACCTGCTGGGTGCAGTCCCACATGTTACAGTTTCTCTGCGTTGTCTCCGTGCTCTTCGTCAGGCAGCATCCGGCCTGATGGCAGAGATGGGAGCGGCTTTAGACCACCACTCTGGCCCCGCCCTTCTGGAGGTGGCAGCCCGCACGTACCTCAGTCTGTGTGGGGGGGAGGCGTCCTGGTGCTCCGTGGCCCGGGTCGCCAGAGACTCCCTGGTCTGCTGCTGGGTGGACCACCTGACAGCTCTGCTTGGGGACTCGCTCCAGGTGAGGAGCACCGTTACACTGCAGGGCCAGTAGCATGTTGACGTATGTATGCGTGTGTTTTGGACTTTCTCTTAGTTTTTCCACACGAAAACGTGATGAAAAACTGCAAACTTTGACTTCTTCAGGCCTCTTAAGGCTGCGTTCACACTGCAGGCAAAAGTGGTCCAAATCAGTTTTTTGTTTTTCTATAACCGTATGAACAGCACAAATCAACTAGTGGACATTCCTTTATTCTAAGAGGTGCCGAACATCCATATATGCAAAGAATAAACTTTACTCCACACAATGACTTTAGTATTTCTCCGTTGCAGGGTGAGAGTCCGCGTTTCTCTGCTGACGAGGAGAAAACTGCAGAAATTTTAGCCACGCTGAAGAAACTCAGAGCTTTCCACAAGTAAGATTTCAGAGCCGATCGAGCCTGCAGTCTCCCCGCCCACGATGTGTGTTTACTGGCTATTCAATATCTTGTTTCTCCTCGTGTTTTGTCAGCTGTCACGACCTCCAGGAGTGGAACCTGTTTGGGCTGTTGTCTCCCCTCCTGTCGGCAGAGAGCGGAGCAGGAGGAGCCCCGCCTGAGGTACCAACACCTCCTCTTTAAAATCCAGTTTATTCCCCGTCTTCCTGTTTCTAAGTGTCTCTTCCTCTCTCCACCTCTTTGTCTGAAGGTGCTGCTGGAGGTGCTGCAGTGTCTGTCTTACTGCATGCTCTGGTCCCTCAACACCAGTGGTGGAACTTTAACCTCCAGAGTGAGTAGCATCCACTGTACTTTGAACTAGAATGAGTATATAAAGATGTAGAAATAAGACAATAAGGGATTTCCATTAGTCCCAACTAAATATTTGCAGAAATCTCTCATAACCTCTGCGGGATTGATTAGTTGACAGAAATGAATCAGCAGCTATATTGATAATTGATTTATCATTTGACTCGGTCGGAAAAAATCCAAGAAATTTTAAGATGTCACCTCGGGCTCTGAGAACTAGCGATGGGCTTTTTTTGAGCAAATCGCCGACTCGTCGATTAGGGATTTGTTGACTAATCGGTCGAGATCTCTTTTGTCAGTTAGTCTTCATCTATGCTTTTTTCATGCTGAATGACTTGCTTCCAAGAAATGTATGAGCACATCTCTGGTGAACAATAGATTTAAAGTGGTGAGACTCACTCTTACAGATCTGTCGGTTAAATAAACTAATCCATGAGTCGACAAAGTGTTAGTCGAATAAGAGCTTCTTTGGTCGAGGACAGCCCTACATTTGTTTGTCCAAACAATGTATCTGATCACTAAAATAATGGAGGAAAAAAGAGGCATATGAGTATCGATGTGTAGTGTCTAGAGAGGCCCATTGTAAGTGACATTAAGTGACATTATTCTGCACAGTCTTAGCCTCCCTGTTCCCCTCTAGAAAGCTTGTGCATTAACTAAATGTACATGTGCGCTATTTGTCACTTATCAGTATGTGTGTGTGTGTGTGTGTGTGTGTGTGTGTGTGTGTGTGTGTGTTTTAGGAGAACGCTGTGTCCCAGAGACTCCAGCTGCGTCTCTTCTGTGAGAGGGGTAATCACTGTCTGTCCCACTCCGACCACAGCGTGCAGCAGCAGGTAAACTCATGTCTCCATCAATAATAGCACCATTTACTCTCTTGGTTTTCCTTTTCCTCAACTGTTTATAACCTCCTCTCTTTATTGTTTTTGTACGTCAGGCTTTCCTGGGTGTGTGTGACGTCCTGACGGCTCACTCCTACCAGCTACAGGTGTGGGATCCCTCCTCCTTCGGTCCTCTGCTCTACACACCCAGCCCCAAACTGCAGAGGGCGCTGTTGACCTTCGTCTGCGCGCATGTCTTCCTCGTACCGGACTGTGACGGCCAGAGCGCTGGTGAGATGTGAATCAGTTTTTGTCAGCCGCTTAACCCTCCTGGTAATGTTTGTCTTTGTATTGCTTGAGTCTGATGTTGCAGATTGGTGTTCAGGTTTGACACAAGAAGGCTGTTATTTGCCACTGAATTTGTTAATGAGGGAAAAGGAGTTGATGTGATTGATAGAATTTTCAACAAGTTGATTCAACTTTTTTTTTTTGTGTGTGTCGAAAAACCATATCAAACACAAACTCTGTTTATGTTCCGGGTATCTTTAAGAATAACTTATTTTTCATATTTAGCATTTATCTTTACTTGAGCATGATTTTAAAAACAAATTGGGGTACTTTGACAGCGGACAGTGAAGAGGTGACAAAAAACAGGGGGGGGGTCAAAGTAACAATACAACAATTAAAAGAAATACTGCAAGTAAAGGTGCTGCTGTACCTAAGTACTCACTATGAGTAGAAACGTCCCCAGTGATAGACTTTACTGTTGTAGCTGGGTGAGGTCAGTCTAGTTTTAACTGTATAAAGTATAAAGGTATTTTATAACGGGGCAGGAAAATAAGAGAAAATAAAAGGTATTAAATACTCTGATCGTTGCATCTTTTTTGTGAAGTAATCGATCATTTGACCTCTTAACGGTTCAAATGAAACCACGTGAGAAGTTTACAGGGGACATGTGTTTTTGGTGGAACTGCTACCGTCTCATGGACATCAGAAAGCCTGCTTTTGGTAAAGAGCCACATAGGGCCAAAAAAGTTTGGAAGCCACTGGCTTCATTTCTTAACAATACTACATATTATATAAGATTATGATATACTTTTCTTTCATTTTAAATCTCAATCTGAAAAGTAGACTCATAGCTGCAGCTGATAAATAAACGGTAGAAGTAGAAAGTAGCATGAAATAGAAACTACAGGAGGAAATGACCAGCTCTGCTGAGCGGCTAAGATGTTTAACTGTTGAAGATGAGTGTGTTGACCTGCGTGTTTTTTTTTGGTGACCTTTGCACTCAAACACACGGCCAGGAGTACCTGGGCCGTGTGGGTGCATTGCAGTATTTAACACAGCAGATGGCGCCCTCACTCTGTCCCTAGCTCTTTTCTTCAGTGTAGCGGTGGTAAAAAACCCAACAGCCATGCAGATATTAAATGCACAGCCACACACTCGGCTTAATAACTCACCGCAGAGCTTCCCGCCGACCGTAAATTAAGTCTGATTTCCAACCCGACCTGACCACTGACCCTGTTAACATCCTCGGGACTGAAACTGGCTGCACTAATTTCTGCAAGAGCGCGTTAAGACTTTGTCGTGCAAAGAAATGCAGTTTGTAAAGTCGATGACTTTTACGGGTATGTTCCCGCCCGTTCTAATAAAATGAGAAAAACAAGATTGACGTGTTGGAAACACGTAACTGTTTTCTTTGTAAAGTCCTGCAGGTAAACGAGTTAATCCGCTCCTGGCTGACTGTAACTAAAACATTGCATTATCTCTACAATAGCTTCTGCTTCCAGAGGCATATTGCAAATCCAAATATGGGATCGTCCGGAGGAGGCAATAGCGCTTTCCTGGTGGGAATCTCTTAAACGTTCAACCAAATACAATACAGGATTATTGGTTTTTGAACATGCAATAAAAGAGCTATTGTTTTATTGGATTTGCCTGGTAACGGTTATGTTATATAGACAGTGTTTTCTATTAGCCGCTGGATCAGAGATCACTCGGAGGGCAAGGGCGCTGACTTAAATCATAAAATCAGGGGCAATCTCTTTCCGTGAGAAAATTCCATTAACTCCGGCTCACCTCTGAGCCCATTTTATTAGCCTTGTGAAAGATTGAAGCCACATGGTGTCACAACCATAACTCCAGCCTCATGTTATCTTTGATTTCCACCTGCTAAAGCCATCGTCCTCAAACTAACTGCGGCGCTCCGCTTTGTTCTTTTTTTTTTCTCCTCTGGTATATGATTTCTGACGATTAATCACTCGCTTTCGCGTCCAACCGCGTTGCGTCGACTCCGTCTGGCTCGCCCAGTCGGTGAAGACTCTGAAGTGGAGAGGCTGGAGGAGCTTCACAGACGGAGAAATCTGCTCGCGGCCTTCTGCAAACTGATCGTGCACAGGGTGCTGGAGATGAGCATGGCAGCCGAGGTCTTCATGTACTACATGAAGGTAAAGGTGGAATAGTCGGGCATTTTTTGGGGGGGGGGTGGTTATGTGTATTATCTCTCCCGTCAAAATTAGGAGAGAAGATTGATACTCCCTCTCCATGACTGTGGGGTAAATATACAAATAACGGCCAGCAGCCAGTTAGCTTAGCTTAGCATAAAGTTTGGAAACGGGGGAATGGCTAGCCTGGCTCCGTCTAAAAGAAACTAAATCTGTCCACCAGCAAAATCACAAAGAAAGTTGTGGTTTTATGACCACTACTTTTTAAACAAACAAGATATAACGTCATCATTTGTGAGCTTTTGAGGTCCAGGTAGATGTTTTTTGTTACTTTTGGAAAGAGCCAGGCTAGCTGTTTCGAGTCTTTATGCTAAGCTAAGCTATCTGGCTGCTAGCTACGTCTTTCTATTTAATGCACAGACATCTGGAGAGTGTTATCAATCTTCTCATCGAACTCTGAGCAAGAAAGTGCATTTCCCAAAATCCTAAGTTATTTGAACATGTATTAAGTGAACGCTAGCGTGTGCTACAGAAGGTAATTTCGCCCTCTTTGTCCCCAGTACCACAACGACTTCGGAGACATCATCAAGGAGACGATGTACAGGACGAGACAGATGGATAAGATGGACAGCGCTCGCACACTGGTGCTGTGTTTGCAGCAGGTGCAGTTGCCTCGCACACATCTTGAAATATAAGCTGCCCACCGCTAGCTGCTGACGCGTGTTTTTGTCCTTTTGTCCTCAGCTGTTCGTCCGTCTGAAGCAAGAGCAGGAGAGCGGCGGTGGCAGGGCTCACCCGGGGGTCCAGACCTTCACCAACATCAAGGAGCTTGCCCGGCGCTTCGCCCTCACCTTCGGGGACCTCATCAAGTTCCGCAAGTGCGTCGTCGTGATCCACAGGTCGGCTCTCGTTCGTCGTTACTTGGATTTGTTTTTGCAAATTTTGTTGTTCTTAAAGTTTTCGTGTCTTCTTTGTCTGTTAATATGTGCAGGAACGGCATCGAGTTTGTGTTCCAGGAGTTCAGTCAGACCCCGGACGCCCCCACGCCGCCGTACCTCTCCTACCTGACCATCCTCGGCGAGTTCTCCAGCAAACTCCTCAAACCGGACAAGAAAATAGTGTGAGTGAGAGTTACAAACATTGTTTTTTATTTTTAAACTTTGTTTTCTGAAAGTCTCGTTCTTGTCTGGGCAGGTTCTCCTACCTGCAGAAGCACACTGCGGAGCACATCGTTGACCTCAAGGAGGAGTGCTGGCAGCCACTCGTCTACTACCGCGCGTCGCTGCTGGCTGTGGCTGAAGGGGAAGACGCCGTGTCGTACATGAGCTCCGACAGGAAGCCCTACCTGCCCGGTCGCTCTCCCTTCTCCAAACAAAAACTAGAAGGTGCGACACCTGACAAAACGAAATCAAGCACAGAATTTAAAAAAGTAACCGCCGCTTCATGTGTGTGGTTTTATTTTTAATTTTTTAGGAAGCAAGTTCCCCTGCCCGTTCAGCCCCGTCGACTCCAAAGTCAGCAAAGGTCACAGGTCAAGCTTCAGTCCAAGGTGAACGACTCCTTCATTTTATAAAGCAGCTCTACAGCACATCTCCACCTGGCTCATACTAATAACTCACCCGCCTCCTTCAGCCACCAGAAAAAGACGACCGACGCGGATCCCTTCTCCGTCCCCGCTGACCCTCCTGCGAAGAGGCTGAACTGCGAGGAATCCGTCCTCAGCACCGGACACGAGTCGGAGGACGACACCGTGGACGTTGAACTGTAACAGTTAGGAGGCCGGAGGAGAATCTGGTGCTTCTGTCTAGACGACGAGAGAACCACACTGGACCTCACAAACTTCTTTTTGTGTCATCTTTGTAATGATGTTCAAACATACCAGCGTCCATTTGTTTTCTACAATACTGTTAATACAGTTTTAAAATGCAGTATTTTATATCTTAAAGGATAAGTCTGCGATATTCTCTATATTTCTTAATGTCAACAAATCCCATGAAAAGACCAAAACCAGCAAGAATGTATCCTATTATTACCTGTGCCTGATACATCTTATTCTTCTGTGCCATAAACTTCCAACTGTTGCTTGGAAAGTATTAAAAACACATCATAGTTTCACTGGGGGGGACGTTATCCTACAGTACAATGAACATGGGAACTGTAGTTTACTTTGAATCAATGCCACATTCACCGCCCTGCTGCTGCAAATACAGACTAGAGCACCAAATATGTATTAATCCACGGCAGAAAATAGTGCCCAACAAATGCACTTTTACTCCCGTTTGAGTAATATTTGCTAAAAAACTAAAGTGTCACTTGTTTTAGCAAATTACTGAGTATATAAAATAATATATCTACATATTTCTGATCAGTGTTAAAAGATTTGACGTTTTCATGGGATTTGTAAACAGAGAAACATATGGAATATCTTTATCATTGAAATAATGTCGGACTCGAGTATATTTTATTCACAGACCAGTCTCATTTGAGGACCACGTGTTTGTGTAAAGCTTTTCTCCATATTCACTTCTATATTGTACTTGAGTGTTACATTCTTTTACGTTTAGATCCCACTCAGTTCCAATATTTGTCAATTTGTCTTTTAGAATTTCTGCTTTATTGTCCTGCCTGCCACTTTATTATTGTTCCTCATAGGATATGGTTGAGTTAAAGTTTGCCAAAAACTACTTATGTACTTTTGTAAATTAATTTAAATTAAAAAAACAGTCCAAACTATTCGATTTTGCCAACCTGTAATATATATATTTTTCATCATCTTTACGTTTTTTCACTGCATTTTAATATCCGTGTGTTTCTTGTTTTCAGTGAACATATCAAAACCAGTTTTTACGAGACGGATGAAATCAAACTGCACAGTTTTCTTTACTCTTCCATTAACCAAGGCTTTATTAATAATTTAAAGAAAAGCATTTTAAAATTGGTTCCTTTTGTCCTGTCAAAAGTACATTCAAATTAAGTACTTGATAACATAGAAAAAAAAGAATTTGTCTAAAACATTTTCCCAAATCATTTACAACACGGCAAACACCAAATAAATATTTACAGTTATTTATAAATCCATCTCTAATAACTTAATAATAAACCCATCTCACACATACAGTAAATCTATCATAATGAGTACAGACCTGTACAATATACAGTGTGTGTGTGTGTGTGTGTGTGTGGCAGTCTGAGCTGTGTGTGTGCAGCAGGCTCAACGGTGGCTTGTTTGGCATTTACACTTAACTTCTCATTTCAACAAACAACTATGAATGAATTTTACAGTGTATAGAAACCTCTTCCGTTAGGATCACTGGAATGTAACATTAGCCAATGACTTCAGATGATCATGAGTTTAAAAACCTGAATCTACTTTGCTTCTGTCCAACAATCCAGGGAGCTCCGCTGTGGGAACACTCATGTGATTACACGGCACGGATGTTCAGATGAAATAATGCTCGCCCCCACATTTACACAAAGCGTTACCTGCACAAACACTACTTCTCCTGCGGTAACGTTGTGGGGATGGAGCGCCGGTCTGCTCGTGACATCATGAAGTCCTCTGTGGAGACTTCTTTAAGTGTGGCGGGTGAGAATAAATCATCTGGTAAGGACCCCGTTCTGCTCAGACAACTTCACATTTCCTCTGAGCCAAATGTGTGACACTGTGTCCATCTGACCCCACCAGTGCTCTGACAGCTCTTTGTGTTCACTCCCTTTTTACTGTCCTGTTACTGGAAACCGGGAGGGGGGGGGGGGGAAGAGAGAGTCATCCACCGACGCTGCCGGTTGAGCCGTGTTTCTGGGAGCGAGCGGCAGGCGTGTGAGAGAAACGCCGCGGGGAGAGAGGGTCATTCAAAGTCCTCTTCGTACTCGTATTCGTCGAGTTCCAGTTTGCAGTGTGGACTGGGGATCTGGAAGAAGTGTCTCTTCAGACCCAGCTCGGTGGAGATGTGCTGCCCTAAAGGGCTCAAAGGGTTGTCGTACCTACACAGACACACGGAGGTCAAAGGTCATTCAAACAGTCGATGTGCTACAGGAACAGAAATAGATCGACATTTGGGAAATGTGCATATTCATTGTTATACTGGGAGTTGGAGAAGATCAATACAAACAAACAATGGAACCACCAGCAGCTGGTTAGCTTAGCACAAAGACTGGAAACGGAGGAGAACAGCTAGCCTGACTTTGCTTCGACTAGTACATTTAAAAACCTGCTGATTAACAAACCAAAGTGTGAAAACAAAGCATCAGTCGGCTGCTAACCCCCGTGAAACAACAACCTGTCGTGTTTACACTCTGCTTTTAATATGGATTACTCAAACAGTATATAACGGGTTCACTGGTGAGCTATAGAGGAGCTGATTAGTTGATTTTCTCACAAAGCATGGCTAGCTCTTTTCCCTGTTTCCAGTGTCTGCGCTGAGCTAAGCTAACTAGCCCAGGCGGTAGCTTTATTTTTTATTATACAAAGTATGAGAGTGGTGTCGATCTCTTTCCTCCGACTCTTGGCAACGAAGCAAAAAAAGCAAGTCCCCAAATTGTCAAACTATTCCTTTAAAGAGAGGTTTCCAACTGGAGCGTACAAAGGAGCAACACATAAAGGCGTGGACAGAAAAGGAAAAGATAACAACAGAAACCATCTGGTTCAAAAACAGACTCCCAGCTCTAAGACGTGGCCACATACACATGTACTTTCTGACAAAACAACTATCTGCTGTCAACGGTGGGCTCAGATTTGGGGGGGGGGGGG